TCATATTGAAGGTACGTGCATATTAATTAATGAAAGTCTAGAACCAGTTAATTTTCACTTAAATAAAACCTAATTATCTTGTAAACTCTTTTGCTTATCTTTCATCTTAATTTATATCAGTCTGAGAAAATCTTTCGAACGAAAGTCTCGGAGAATAAGATTTATTTTTAATATAGATTATTGTAACTAAATTTGTTTTTGTGTACAGATTTGATGACACGATATTATAATATTAATGTATAGGTAGGTAGGCTTTTATTTGTGTATTTCTTTATTTGGATTTGAAAGATGTGTCAATAGCGATATTTTGATAAAAAGTGGAACATGTCGATAAGTTCGTTAGGCTCTATGTTTACTTCCGATGACGATGATATAGAAAGGTTAGTGTATAGTGGGAAAATAGTAAATGGAGCGTTGCATTCCTTTATGTGTAGCCAACAAATCTCAAACGAGGCTCGACCGGCCGTTTCAGGGAAGTGCTTATCCCGACGTTAACATACGGGAGTGAATATTGGCTGTTTCAGAGAAAGAATGAGAGTAGAATAAATGCCGTGGAAACGAGAGCGTTAAGTATGTGTGATGTAACATTGCGGGAAAGGATAAGTAATATTGAGAACCGTGAGCAGTGTGGTTTGAGGACGTTATGAAAATACGAAAGGGAATGCTTAGGTGGTTTGGCCATATTAACAAGTAGGATATATACAAGGCAACCGTGGATGGTGAAATCAGGTTTAGCAGGCCTTATCGTACACACCTGGACCGAATCCAGAAGGGACAAGTTAAAAGTACCCATAACCGTGGTGGATGAAGCGAGACGGGTATGTCAGGACCGTAGCAACTAGCAAGTGGAGATCCGTGGTCTCAGCCTACTCTTTCGGGAAAAAGGCGTGATAATATAAATTTATTTCGTTACGAGTATTTATGTAATGTGTTTATTATTGCAGTTTAGTTTCGCTTTGCAATCGTTCCATCACTTGCCATAAACGTAGACTACAAACCTGATTATGACTCCGAGCGTCTCTGAACACAAGTTTTAATAGTTTTAGCATTTTTGAATGCATCGATTTTGATTACTTTTTTTAATGGCTCTCATTTGTGCCTACTGGGCTTGTTTTGTAGTGTTGCGCACCTCATACATGAGGCACCTCAAATGTCACACTCAAAGTTGTCAAATGTCGCATCACCTCAAACACACATTTTGTACCGCTTCAAACTCGTTGAGGTATTTCAAACGCGGGCTAGGCGCTGAATGTGATTGAGGCGGTGAGTCGTATGTCATGAATGAGTTGAGATGAATTGTTTTGTCTTATTCTCCCATCCCAAGTAGGACAATGACAATAGTTAAAAATCGTGTCTGATGAGCAACTGATTAAATCGATATTATTGAATGAGTGACAGTGACTGTTCACTGTGACATATTATTGTAATTGGTTTTTGTTTCCATAAATAACTTGACTTTTTGAAGTTATACTTCTTTAGGCGCGTTATGAAAAATTGATGAGAGTGAAATTTTACGTAGCGCGCGCACCGTTACACAAAATTAACAGAATGAAGTTGCCCACGGAAGATGCTACGGCATTGGACATAATTTAAAAACAACATTCGAATAATAATAGAATTTATGTTACACTTAATGTAAGAGAATAATAATAAATATTTAATTTTTCAAATGTAAACTGAACTTTATTGACTATAATGACTCCTTTTCCAGTCTTTGATTGTAATTAATTATTTGCATGCAATCAAAAACTATTTTTAATAATGCCAAAGAAGTATAACTTCTTACGCGCGTACACGCACCCTTTTTTATTTTTTTTTTATGGTCGAAAGACCTGCGCCATAGAGTCAATGGATTCGTACATAAAGGGACTAACAGTACAGAACAGAATCCTCAAATGAAGTGGTACAATGTATTAACTCATTTTATAAAATGAGGTGGGACATACAAACACTTCAATTTCGTTTGTCCTACCCATCACTATTGTTTTGAATACTTAAGGCAGTATTTTAGAACGTCAATCAAACATAAATTTTTGAAATGTCAAACAGTTTTTCTGTATGAAGTTTGACATATTTGACAGTGCTCAAGGCACTCTTGGCTTCAGATATGAATTAAAATTAAGAGCTTATACTACTGCAATTTGTATCCTGTACCTCTCGGATAAAGATTAACTACACGAATTTTATTTGGACAAAGCCTTTGTGCATATTGTATATATATTGATCATGTAAAGACGTATCTAGATATAATAGTAGGCTTTAACAAGCTCCAGTTTTAAACCTTTAAATGACGATAGCAAAACCTGGAACTCCGCTAACCTCTGCCTTTTTTCCACACGCATCTGATGAATATTATTAGGAATTGAGCGAATCAAAGTTTTTCAGGGACTGACGAGTATATAAAACTAAGGATATAACCGTGCGTTTGATTAGGATACGCATGTCGCGTATCTGGGGGTCTAGCCAAGATGGCTTAACAGTAGTGTATGTAGAAAGTCGAAAACTAAATTTGTATGGAAATGACAGTTCGTGTCGAAAAGTTTTCATACAAATTTAGTTTTTGACGTTCTACATACACTACTGTTAAGGCATCTTGACTAAGGCCCCTGGACGCGTTGCATTAGAGAAGCTATTCTCCACTCACTCCCAAATGGAACGCTATCGTTTCGTTCATTTACATTTTTACCCTTAGAAGAGAGTCTTATTATAGTTATATCCCTCATACCGTATCCTTACTATATCAAGGAAGACGTGAATACAATTTCCCCATTGACTAGAACATTGCACATTGTACCTATTATGACTAATTTACTTAATAGCACTTAAGTAACATTCTGTAGTGTAGTTATTGAAATATTTCAAACATTCGTAAAGATCAATTTTTAATCACCGAGTCAATTAACATTCTTCTGTTAACGATTAAAGAACGTACTTATACGTATTTCACTCGTCTATTTCCGAAATTGAATAATTATCATATAAAATGTTACAATGGTACCTACTAATTCTAATTAAAAAACCTAAAAACAGTTATTTTCTTTCTACTATATATATATTAAGTATTATGCAGACAATTAAGTTATTGACAGGAATTAACTTCTCTTTATGGCTAAAAGCGACTACACACTGCCCTTAAATCAGTGGCGATATCGGGACAATGGTGGATGAAATCGGATCGTAGTTCGAATCGGCAGTAGCATTCTCAAATTAGGGTACGATTTGCTTACACACGAACGATCTAGGGTGCTCTCTACCACTACCCCGATATTGTCTCTGATTTTAGGGCCGTGTGGACGTAGACGCTTTAAAGCAAGCGTCAGGCATTCACTCGATATAAAAGCTTTTCGGACGGCATTTTAGATTAATTTAAGTCTAATTTGTGTATCTTGGAATCCAACGTTTACAATGAACCGTTACGTTATAATATATGAAGAGCATTTTATGTTATATAATATAGCGTTCGCCATTCTATCAAGATTAGATGTCAGGTAAAGGAATTATCCTTTTGTTACTATATTTTCAATGCTCTAATATTTATATTAAGAGAAATAATGCCCCTTCGGTATAGAAATTGTGAAATTCTTATTTTCAATTATCACGAAAGTTTTACTATTCTTGACTTACTTTTAATAATTAACGACGGAATAAAATAACTTGTTAATTATTATGTTTTTGTTTTCTAGTCAGTTGTGTCCGTATTGTTAGTGTGCCTTATAAATAAAATAATGTACAGTTCTCTAAGGTACTGGTATTCATAAAGGTTCATATTTAAATTTTGATTTACGATTGGACAGCAATAAAAAATGGTTGACTGACACTCAATTTGATTGTAGTAAGTACGTTTCAGCGGACGACTCATTCTATAAGTAGTAATGAAGTGCTGTAACTCTTAAATAATTGGTAAAAATATATTGTTTTAACACTGCGTAGGTTTTTATGCGTGTTTACGCAAGAATCAGTGCCTAACTAGGTGGGTGAAGTCAATCGTTAGGTGTATTTACTCGCCGCGCTATCGAAGGAATGCGGTCGCAGTCGTTCGTAGCCTGTTTATGAGCTAATGAATCATATTTTTCTTTATCAATCACTGAACCAAAGTATCGCAACGGGGCAGAGTTTTTAAAACGCATTAAGTATTTATACTCATCTTTGTCAGAATAGTTAAAGGCATATAAATAACATTCAATAATATAGCCGGTTCTTTCATGAAATAACACAATATAAATTGTGATTGACTTTGTATTTTCAACAATATCAGGGAATAAAAGTAACGAAGTCTCTTGTGTTTTTTTTTAACATATTAAGCATTAAGTCTTAGTAAGGTCTCTCGTATTATCTTCAACTAGTTGCTAGTTTAATTTGTTAACTCAATATTATATTATTATGTTTACATAAAGTGGTATTGTTTCAGTTCAACTATAATTGACACGTTTTTAATGATTGATTTACAACGGTTTTTTTAAATTATTGGTATTCATTAGACCAGCTGTTATGTTTTCTTTAGAGTTTAGACCAACAAACCTGCTGAATAGTTCATACTCATCATCCCTGATAAAATCAAAGTTTAAAGAAAGATGTAACTGACTAGTAATAATTAAGAAATCATAGTAATGTTACGTACGTTCTATGTGCAAACATAACTTCGTATTTACTTTCGAAATTTCGTTGCTTTCAAGTCCAGATCAAGTTGTGTATAGCAGTATCGTAGATTGATTCATTATTAAGTGGTAATTTAGTCTTATAAGATAGTTGAAATAGAAGTTCGGATAAAAGAAGAAGGGCGCGCGAGCGCAGGGTCAGCGGCCCCGGCGCAGGCTTGGAATGCGAGCTATGTGTATGAAATGAAAGTGGCCGCATCGTGAAAGCGCGCGCATCCACAGTAGACCTAGAAGAAGTCGACATCCACACTTACCATCAATAAACAAATCCAATGTTGTAAGTCGCTATGGCACTTAAAATGTGGTAACCGCATCCATAGACACTTCACTACACTTCGCGCGTTCTCACAACCGGTAACATAGGAGCGCAGTGGCAATGCGCATAATCTCTATAAGCGCGTAGAAGCGACTGAGTGAAGCGAAGCAGGCGCGGGCGCGTGGGTCGGCGAAGGCATGAAGGCACGCGCGGGGCGCGCCTTGGCTTCGGCTTGGTGGAATGCGGCAAGATAGTGGCGCGGAGACCGGCCGAGGCTCGCTGTAGGAGCCTCCGCACTTTATGATACCTCCACCACGCATCTGTAGATTAACTGCGCGGAATGCGCCCAAACTCTTATAACAAATTTATTACTTTTAAATAATTATTACTAATGATCCCGGTTACGCAGTGTCGCATATTACGAAGATAAATGCGAACTATTTCAAATTTTGAAAAACATATAATATATACTATAGTAGTAGTAGACTGTAGATGTATTCTCACGTAATGTTACGATATACGTGAACAATCAATTTATTTTGGACTACCTACTAGGATTTTTTTTAAATATGTCTTTTGTTGACAAATGCTTTACTTATATAAATTTACCGATAAATTATATGTATACTCTCACGGCGTGACTCCGATGATTTAAGTAATCGCCGTGCTTATAAAACTTAGAAAACCTGAGTGAGCAAATTTTTTGGCTGGCACAAATTGAAAAATTTTGTTACACATTTAACGACAGCCAATTTTGAGTTTCATCCTATTGACATGTATCAAATTCTTTGATGCGCTTTAATATTTTTGGGTAAATTAATGATTAGAATGGAATTATATTAATACATATAGGTATTATATTTTATATTTAAGAACTAATGCGATTTTAAGAAATACGTATTATGATATGCCGTACAGGTAAAGTGAAGTGAATATATTGGGAAGCTATTATATCTATAAAGTATAAAAGGTACTAAATCTCAATTACGTTTGATTATTTGTACCTTCAAGAACTGAACAGTTAATCATTGACTGTACATAATAACAAAGAATGGCTATGCTATAGGTATATAATTCAATATTTTAATTATGCAAGGCAACATGTAAACATAATAATAATTCAGTTGTTCTACGGCTTTGGATTGCATCTGTTTATTTGATATTTTGATTATAATATGTAGTTATTTTATAGTAACAAGAACGTGATCAGCCTTCCTTGCCTGACAATATATAGTAGTTTAAGACTCATTTCTTTTAATTTAAAAATTAACTGACTATTCATATCAATAAAACAAAAGTTTACATTTTATGATTTTATTATTAAATCAAATTGTGATGTTTAACAACTGACATCTGTCACAGGCCCACTTAATTTCATAGTTTTTTTTTTTTTTTTAAATTTACGATCTTAATTTCATAGATGAAGACGAGGACCAAAGAAAATAAAGGACTTGAAATTACTACAAAAACATAGATAAAGAAAGGCTGCCGAGGATTGGCACTACTATACCATGGAAAGTTCTTTTTTTGATATATTTACATACAGTATTCTTTTACATTTGTATCCATACCTTTAGATTTGTAAATAATTTTATTTTCATTTTTGAATTGTTGCATAATATTTTCTTACCCGTAGAATAAAGAGTCGCATTATGTATATGGAGGAGTTTATGCCACGAAGACTTGTAATTTAAGCCGAGAACTGAGCGTAAAACATAATTATCTCTTTCGTTAAAAGCAATTGCACCGTAGAAAGAAAGAGATCAACTTATTTTTGCTGCTATAAACCATAAATATTGTATATGTTGACAAAGACTTCTCCATAGATTTCTTTCCTCTATGGGACCAGCTGCCTAGTGCCAATCAGATGTAAATAGTCTGCCAAATTTTAATTGACAAATCTGAAATCACTGATAGGATTCTTTCTAATTGAAATTCAAATATGTAGTTGATTTTTCAATTTGTAAAATGAAACGGGGAGCCTAGAGAGGAAAGTCGTCTTTATTTTGTTACCTTTGTAATTGAAGTGTGGTTTGAAATACTTTGTTTAGTCTGAATTTCCTTGGGATTTTTTAGCAAATGAGTTTTTTGCCATATATACTCCTCAAATTTTTATGTGGTGTTTAATGTAAAGATTTTCCTGAAGAATATTATGAGTAAGAAAGTGATTACCAGTGGCAGAAAGAAAAATAAGTGTCTGTAAAAATGATTTTTTCAAAAGCAGTGTTTTCAGTAGTATGCATTCTTTTGTTATTGTCAATGTTTGTGGCTAGCATTCTGAACACAATAGCTACAGATCACAATTTTACTAATGAGAACAAAGACGAAGGTGAAAATTTTACAAAATATTTAGCAAAAAAATATGGTCCAATAAGTGATTCACCTAATAATCTTATTTGGTTCCTACAGGTGAGTCTTAAATATTTTTACATATGGATTTCATGATAAATATTAAGATGAACAACAAGAATGCTTAATTTATTTATTTTACATTATATATTAACTAAATTTTATCTATAACATTTATTACAGATATCTGACATACATATTAGTATATTTCGGGACCCCGGTAGAATATCTCAATTTCAGCAGTTTTGTGATAGTACTGTTAAAAAAATCAAACCATTCCTAGTTTTGGCAACTGGTGACCTAACTGATGCTAAGGCTAAAGATAATCTTGGAAGCTCACAAGTTAAGTCAGAATGGGTGTATTATTATAACATTATAAAGGAATCAGGAGTAACAGAACATACTACTTGGTTAGATATAAGAGGAAATCATGGTAAGTGCAATTTGTTCCTCTAAGTAATATTTTCTGACGTAAGAATAATTTTTGATAAATATTCAGAGTTTTATTTTGTAGATTTTGATTGCCAGTTTATCAATTGATTTATTATCAACATGGTTATCTGATTTTGCAATTTTTCATCAACTTACATCAGCTTTGTAATTTGAATAATTATCACATTGCTGTAATTAAATTAAGGAAAGAAAATTACATATAAGTTTATTTTTAATTCATTATAATTTCAGATAACTTTAATATTAGGACATTAAATTCTCAAGAAAACTATTTTCGAAATTATTCTGTACAAGGAATAAATAATCCAAAATCATATGTCCATTATATGAATATTAATGGAGTCAGTACAGCTTTTATAGGAATTGATGCCTGTCCTGAGCCTGGATTGAGACGGCCATTTAACTTTATTGGCATACTAGATGCTCAAGAACAACAATATATACAAAAGTTAAAACAAGATGCCGAAAATAAGGCAGATCATATAGTTTGGTTTGGGCACTATCCTACTTCATGTTTGTTATCTCTAGAACATGATCAGCAAAGGATAGATGTAAGACAGTTGATTGCCAGCGCAAGTGGTTCACAGGTTTATGTTTGTGGTCATTTACATTCCATGGGTGGATTAGTACCTAAAATGTATACAAAGCACAAAAAAGGCTATTTAGAGCTAGAGTTAGGGGATTGGAAAGATAACAGAATGTATCGTTTGGCAGCCATAGATCATGGAATGTTCTCTTTTGTAGACCAAAGACACAATACATGGCCAGTTATTCTTGTGACAAATCCCAAACATGCAAAATATGCTATACCTGGACGAGAACCATTGAGTTTGATACCTGACTCAACCCATATAAGGATTTTAGCGTTTAGTGATGTTCAAATCGAGAGTGTAAAGATATCTTTTGATAAATTAAGTTGGTTAAATTGTAAATCTAAGGAAAGACCACTCTATGTCTGTGATTGGCTTCCCCATTTGTTTGTAACAGGTATTCATAACTTGTATGTAAGAGCTGTTGATGAACTAGGAAAAGAGACAAATGTAACTCATCCGTTTACTCTAGATGGGACATCAGTGAATTTTGAAGTAATACCCAGAATTTTGTTAATGCTTGACGCAGGATCTGTGGTAGGTTTAATGATAAACAGGTAATATTTACATAATAGATTTCTGCTAATAATCAATTTATAGTTTCAGGCGGTATTCGGAACACTTTTGGTAATAAATGTCACACCGCTAAGCATTTTGAGATTACAAAAGAGCCCGCCAAAATACAGACGAAGATGTGGCCGTCAGATTTTACGAAAAGTCTGGCTTTTGAGCAAAGTGGATCGGATATTTTATCCGATTATACTATATGCATTGTATTTACCACTTGGCCCATGGGCGATAGGGGAACTTATTGATGGGTACATTGGCACCATTTTTGCATGGGGTATTGTTATAAAGGGCACATTTCTGCCTGAACCATTTACGTATATGTACGGAAGTGTGCAGTTAATGTTTGTGCAAATCCCACTGATATTTGTGTTGGCATATTGTTTAGACTTACGTTTGACGAATCACAATGCCCAAGGAATAAAGCGAGTCATCCGGAATTTGCCCTTTATATTTCTACTGACAATACAACTACTGCTTGCGTACTTCTTTTGGTTGGAATATGGAACTCTATCATTTCTTACTAGTCCTCTAAGGACTTGGAGTGTTGGTTTAAGTACATTATTGTGGTACAAGACCTTAACATTGCCACCTGATTATTGCAGGTATGTAAAGTAACTTCTATTGCCACCTTAAAGTAGTACTTGCTGTCGATTTTTTATTAAGAGTAGAATTTAGAGGAAAGTTTGACCGCAATCTCCACGGAACTAGTAAGTCAGGAAAGTAATTGATTGGGAAAGTACGCTAAATATGTACAAAAATAGAAACACATCAAAGAAGATTTTTTTTTGTTTAATTTGTATTTAATTGGTATCCATTTTTGTTAACACCTTCTTTGATAGTAAAATATGGTCGCGATAATTGTCTATGCTTCATGGTGTTTTAAAGTTCCAGTTGTCCACAATAACTCGTAGTCGTATATAATTATATTTTAAAAAAATATTTTATTTTTAGACGCCTCCAAAAGCTGAACGAAACTCCGCCGTAGACACCGAAGGCTGTACATATTATCAAGGCTGTGTAAAATAGTCATGTATTTTTATTTACACCAAAGATATTATTTTTATGCACTTGAAACATTGTCCTATTATGTCTATGTCTAATATACCAAAACTAATATTTATGTAAACATACAGTATTTCTAATATAGTCATTTATTCATTAGGAATGTATCAATATAATGGTATATTTTCAGGCTTGTCATACATTTAAATCATACATGCACAAACCGTCCGCGTTTCATATGTGTGAATAGTGCTACGATTAACCGCCTCGCCTTATATTTCGCTGTTGCACATAATTACAATTACGGTTCGTTGTCTCTTACAAGAGTTTTATTATTATTTGACTATAGAATTATTTGACAAAAGCTAAAAAAGTGATTTACTATGATTTAATTATCTGCCCATTACAATAATTGTTATAACAGTTATCAGTGCAATACGTTATTGTGCTAATACATAATGAGCATAATATAACTTTTATTATATTATGAAATTCTTATTTGTATATAATGCAATAGGAGAGATCGAAAAAAACGTTTTTCCTTCAGAACATCTAGAGATAAAAAACATTTAATGTTTTTAAAAATGTATTTTTGTCAACTCGGGGGCTTCAATAAACTTTCGAGCAGAACTATGGCAAACAATAAATTTGTGTATTTTAAAATGGGCCTTTACTTTTCGTTGCGACGAATTTTACTCGCGACAATAAGTACACCTCAACTTAAATTTAAAAAATATAAATGTTTTAGATACTAATATGCTTGATGGTTTATAAACATACACATGGTTATTGGCCTTAAACTTATGTGCTTAATAAATAAAAATGCTTGTGCGGCATTCGCGCATTCTTTTTTTTTCAATTAGTCTTAAAAGTTTTTTTAAATTCCCAAGTTAAAATATTTAAATTTCTCAAAACAGCAATACCATATCATACAAGACGAATATCGCTAAGACCGACGCAGAGGACGAACTGCTAGGGAGACTGAAGTTTCCATATCGGAATTATAATTAGCTAAACTCATTTAACATTTCGTTACAAAACTATTAAACAAATGCGACTAACGTTTGGAATAAGTATAATTTCTTCTCGAAGTCTGACACTCACAATTATGTGTTTCAATGGAAAAGCTGCGTAAATGTGTATACTAATGATATTTTTTGTATAAAATATTGATGTAAATATAAATGTACTTATCGGTTGTCTGTTGTTTTACTTATTCATAAACATACACAAACTTGAAACTGTCATAAAGTTAAAACTATTGCCATAATATTAAAAAAAAAACTTACACAACAATTAAGTGTAAAGAAGAAATAAAATAAATGTTTTAAAAGAGATTCTTTTGTCATAAAATTTATTAAAGAACAGGTTATCTGAAATAACACTACTGTGACCTGTATTTCGTTTTAAGTATTACAAACAGAAGATAACCTTAGTAATTATCCTTATTTCCATAACCAAAAATCAGTATTCTATTAATATCACAGATTAACAATAAGATTAATATTTAATTACGTATTTTAAAAAGTTGAATAGCGTTCAAGTATTACGTCACGCATTTTTTGGAGATTATTAACCCCCCCCCATGTAGCGCGCCGTAACTTTTTTCTGTATCCAATAGTAAAACGTTTCGTAACCACCAAAGTGTCTCTTTATACCTAAAAGTTACCATTACGTGGTGTAAAGTACTGGAAAGTTGAAAATAATATTAACGTTTTACGAAAGATTTCCCCCAAAATTCGTTACGTAATACTTGAACGCTCCCCAACCAGAAACAATTTTTTTTTTCGCAAATCGAACCGAGGTTCTCCAAATCCTACTTAAGTGTATAAAAAGCCATTCAGCTTGTAATACAAATATCTTTGACTCCACCCACACTAACCGACTCCATTGTTTTCACAAAAAATTATCATAAACAATTTTAACAATCACGCATACAATTTATGTAACTAAAATTATCAATAACGGGCATTATGCTTTGATCTGGTAAAATCGTATTTTTTATATTTAACTCGAGGCTTTTTTCTACTATTCCATATTAAAAACTACCACCGCATAATAAAAGTTTATGCAACTGCTGCAAATTGAGGATTATTAACAAACGTGAGCGTTTGTAATTCAGAAACGAGGTTTTAATACCTACACCCTAGTCCTCCAACTTAGTACTTACTTATGTCATACATTGGGATATTAAATAACAATGGCAACTCCTTGGAGACTTTTGTATTGGAATCAATAATTAGTATTAATAGTATGCTTCTATTGTTTCCATTGGCAGTTGTTTTTGTTAAATATCGATATTCAATAGGTTTCTAAAGTTAGAGTCATTGACGTTCGTTACTAAAATATAACGATAAGAGATTAGATAAAATAGTACTACTGCAGTACCTATCTTTTTCTGAATTTTTAATTCATTTGCAGAAATATGTCCTTGAACATTGCGCAGATGTTTTTCCTATTTTCATTCATTTCCTCTGCCTTAGTTTTGTATGATCTAATACTTACAGAGTTAAAAACGTAAACTAGTTAAGCGTTCATGAATTTATATTCTTGTATTTATTTACAAACTCACAGCTTACTGTATCTTTAATAGCTAAAATAGTTTATTATTTATAACATCTTAAGCCTCTATATAATAATATCTATAGAAATAAGTCATTATTGATAAGCTAAATACATGGTACAAATAGTTATTGACATCTATTTACATGCTTTATACACTCGGTATTTCAAAACGCATATTAAAGTGCACTGTAGTAACAATGTCCAAATAACAAGTGCTAAGACGTCATTAACAAAATTTCCGGTCAAACCCAAATAATCGAGATAATATTTCGGGTCACGGAATAAACAGATTATTTTATAACAGGGTAATTTCGACCGACCGAAACCGTATACGGTCTGCATAAAAGCGTCGAACGCGTAACGGAAATAGGAAATTAGTGCGAACGGTTGGAGATATGATGGCATTTCTTTGTATGGGATGAAGAATTCAGAAAACATCAGCATAGGAATGTTCGCTGCTGGTATCACGAAGAGGCCCAACTGAAAGTTAATGTTATAGTGTATAAGATTAAATCTTTTAACGTTCGTGTCCTAGGTAAAGCAGTAGATTAAGCCTAATAAAATATAATTATGCCGAAAGTCGAGCCTAATCTAGGTCTAGAGCGTAGGCGGCAATGTTATTGGAGCTGATGTATATCTTTTAAATTTTGCTTATAATCATTGTCCGCCCTATCATTCTATTCTGTATAGGATTATATAGTATAACAAATATTGTGCGTGTCAAATGCGATTTAAGTACTTAGCGATTTTATTGATTTAATGCTATTAACAGGAGAAAGTTTATTGATTTTGAAAACTGATTTTTAAAAAGTACACTATATTAAGTTAAAGTAAACTATATTGTGAATAAAAGTGAAAATTTCTACCTCAACATCACACGCTGCGCCAATCACGAGGCCGAATGTTTGCGCCAATATGGTAACCAGTACGCATATTAACCACGCAAGGCCCAAACGATCGACTTCCAAGGGCTGAGACGTGAGGTACCAAGCCGGAAATACGAACACCGTTGCACATAACAACTGGAAAATACTTTTTATATACCTAAGTCTATTTTCAACTAAAATGTAAGAAATTAATATTAACTTAGCATTTGAACTGTATTGTTCACAAAATTATTTCGTTCCAAAGCAAAACAATTGTTTTTATCTTGCAAGTGCCTGAAAAAAGTTTAAAGATACAGCTAAGTTTCTTTCTTCCTTTTCTCGTATATCAAAAACGTATTGGATTTAGACATAGCTTAGAGCTTACTGAATCTGAATATCACGCAGACACCCTAGCTCTCGGCACGTAAAGCCAGAGATTCTATGGTGGGAATGAAGGATTATAATTCAAAACGATCGACGTAATTGTCACATTTGTAGGAACTTTCTGATCTTAAGTATTATGGCTTGTCAGACACTCAATATCGAATCGTGAATTTTACGAAAATAATAGACTAATGCTTGGTATCATCACCTGAGTTCCGTTATTTGATAATTTTATTTGAATTAAAAAAAAACATGCCTGTTATGTTATCAGTAATATTACCTGAATAGGAAAATCGACTATGATCTTAGTCGCACAGTACGTCGATAGACAATACCACTTGTTCAAATGTTCTTGTAGGATTACCGATGCTTCCACTGGAACTGTAATCACATTTTTAATATAAATATAAAAATTTGTAAATATTCGATACTTGTTAAATTTTATTTTGGTAAGAAATATTTCTCTGTTTTTTCCACTTTAAACCCGACAAACCTTATATAGTTAAACAATATTTTGCCTCATTTATTTGTTCCTAAAGTGTGTTTTAACTACCAAACATTTTACAGCTATTTGAGTTCTATAGTAGGTTTAAGAATAAGGAGATAAGAATTCAATGATATGTGATAAGTATTTAAAAATTCTCAATCGACTAAGTTTATAGCGTCATAGCACAAATTAATAAGATATACAATTTTATGGCACTAACGGGTCTTTGCTCACGTTTTACACAATTTCCATTTAAATTTTCACTTAAATAAAAAAAATTACTTACATCTATGTATTGTAGGCATTGCATTGGAGAAATACAGGAAAAGAAGAAAGAAAAAGAGACAGCCCGTATTTGAAACCGTTCGTCCGCCATCTTGTCCTGCACCATTGTAGAGCGCACCCAATAGAATCGCTACTAGGAAATGTGTTACTAATCGAATCTGAAAAAATAAAACCATCTCATTAAAACACAAGTCTTCCTGACAGCTTAATAATTATGTTTAGTTCATGAAGAAGTTGGTTTTCCAAATAATATATTGCAAAGAAAACAAAAACTATATTCTATCCAAAACTAGCGGGTCACACACAAAAACGGGCAATCGTCACAGAATTTCATGTGAAATATGCACGTAAAGAATAATTATATACCCATAAATGAAAACAAATTTAAAATTGATTAATCTGTTCCAATTTACATTTAATAGGTGGCATTGGATTGATATGGAATGGTTTAGGAGAAAATTCAAAAAGGAGTAAAATTTAAATGAACCGACAATTAGAATATAGGTATATCTTAGTAGGTATAAATATTTTAAAATATGATTAATATATAATAATAAAAAATATATGCAACTTTCATACCATCCTATTAATATTATAATGCGAAAGTTTGTAAGGATGGATGTTTTTCACTCTTTCACGCAAAAACTACTGAACGGATTTTAATCAAACTTTACAATAATATAGCTTATACATCAGAATATCACAAAGGCTACAATTTATAAAGATATTGTGTGAATTGTCTAAAATATTATCTAAGTAAGTACGTTCTAAACGAACTAAGGTCCCGGGTCCGACGCACGGCGGGTGAGGTGGGGGAAGGAGTCGCTCATCGCTGAGTGCGCGACCAGCAGTAATTTTACGATTTGGCATTGTAAAAAGTATTAACTATTAATTACTTAAGAAGTCATGTGGTCATGTGCACCATGCAATGGTAGCAGCTCCTTACAAACATTGTGTAAAACAAAAAACTTGGCGATTAAAAAGAGTGGCGGAGAGTTTATTGCCAGTTCTTCTCTTCCGTTCTACGCCCTTGATTTGGGAACTGGCAGTAATTGTAAAATTAGAAGCGTTTAATATGTTTTTTATTTCTTGACGTTCATAAGTGTACATTGTGTTACCTATATGCATAAAGGATTTTGACTTTACAATAATAATATAAAATTTATAATAAAAGAATATTAATATACTCACGGAAGCGTGATTTTCATTTAAAATTAGCAAATTAGAATTGTTTTTTGCCTATTAATTACTATAATATTTAGCTATAATTTTAATTAAATAGGTATTGCATTTTAAAGCATAAACATAATAAACTACCGTAGTGTATTTTTTGCAAGTGTAGAAAAAGCACGTCCTAAGAATTATGCCGCGAAAGCGTAAGTCGAATCTTTCTCAAAACTCTAATAAAGCTCGAACTGCGAAGGCTTGAACAGGCAGACAGGGCAGAACAGGAGACACCCGAATAGTATCCAGCTCGACGTCAACAGAACGCTGAATATCTGGCATCTCAACGGGCTCCAGAGACATCCAAATAGTCTCAGAGTGTTCAGAGAAGTTGTTCGGATTAATACCTGCAGCTGAGTTTCATCATCGGACGTCGAGGCAGAATACGAAATTCCACCCGTTCCTCGACGTCCGCCGTTCCACAACTGAGCGTTTTTCAAGGCAGTTTTTGCCGCGCACCATCACTTTAAGGAACCAGCTGCCCACTGAAGTATTTCCGAACCAATTCGACGCACTCGCGAGCCCTCTGGCATTGAGAGTGTCCATGGGCGGCGGTATCACTTAACATATAAAAAAAAAAGTCTCAAGCTCGGCGTCATTAGCACGCGACTTACATGAGCTACAGAAACCGTTGAAGCTGCTCAAGCTCGTAGACGCGCTGTTGCTGAAAGGGCAAGAAACGCGTGGGCGGTATTCGATAAAGCTGCATTTGAGTACGACGAGGCTCTTGATTACGAAAGCCACAAGCTTATAAAATAGAAACGATGAATAAAGATTTTGCTGCGCTCTTAAATGGAAAGAGGAAGCTGCAGGCTCTTTCTTCAACAGACGATCCTGTTGAACCTTTTAAAGAACTTTTTTCAAATGAAACAGATAGTCTCGCCGTTTTTTATATCTTTCGAAGCTGATAACATTGTGTCGATGCCAGGATTTTTTCTGAGTTTTACAATCCAAGGGCAAATATACTACACAATTGGCTCTTTGCTTCCTGCTACTAATACGCCACCAAATTTTTGCATGTTTATTTCATGGGTGATGAGGAAGCACAAGTTGATAGGCGTTCTGAGTACGTACCAGGTTTGGAAAGAAACACAGTTAAAAAAATACAAAAAGTTCTACATGATCAAAACGTTTTAGTGCATGAATTTAAAATGGCTAAAGATAGAGAGAGCAGCGATAATTACAAGGCAGAGATACACTCAGATCATGTACCACGTGGTGAACACGAACGACGATTTGCCCCGACCACAAACGAAATAGCTGCTGTATTAGTTAGTGAAGAAACTGCGTCTCGGACATTGTTATTCAGGCGCACGATGGCCGGCTCACCAGAGTTCCGGACACTCATAGATTTTAAGATGCTCCCGATTTTTTTTTGAAAAGGACAACCCCAGTTACAAAATAACCCATACCGAACAAAAAAGTGTCGTGCAATTAAAATATTATAATGTTAGTTATTTTCTACGCCACGATAATATAAGCTACTCGAAATATTAATCATGCGCAGACGAAGTCGCGGGCACCAGCTGGTTAGACATATTTGTCTTATTATCCTATTTAAAATCAGCCCTGCGATTCTGTAACTCACTTTTCGAACTCATACAGCGGTTTTTGCATCGGCGGTCGCTCTCAAATCAGTCGTGAAGCAGTCATTTTATGATTTGGCATTCTGATAAACAATAAACTACTAGCTCCCACCTTTTCAGAATGCCAAATCATAAAATGACTGCTTCACGACTGATTTGAGAGCGACCGCCGATGCGAAAACCGCTGTGTGAGTTCGAAAAGTGAGTTACAGAATCGCAAGGCTGAACAGAAACCAAGTCCAGTTATGGTATTTTATACATACAGTGCGACAATTTACACAACACTTACATATGTAAATGATGATAAATATTTATAATTAAATGCACGTACAATGATATAAATGTTAATATTAAAACAGTAGAATACCTGAGTTAAATGCACATCACGTAATGCTCCAAGGTAACCTCGCCACAGCAATGCCCTCATTTGCTGACTAAACCCAGCTAAATATCCTTTGCTCTCAAACGACGAATTCGTATTTAACAGTGCCACTGTTTCTGGTGACTTATCTGGATAGTTTATAATGATTATATTATGTATATGATAAAATTGAACATGACAGGGGTACATTTTGATGAATTTAAAAATATTAATTAAGATACATTTATAAATATTAGTTAAGATACATTTATAAATATTAATTAAGATACATTTATAAATATTAATTACGTGTGTGAAGTCCCTCAAGACATATGCAGACACATTCCTGAGTCTGTTTCATAGATATTTTGTCATAGTTATTAAATTTTTACAAATATATAGCCTTGATGTTTGTCTTCGAACAAAGGCCTAAGGTAGCTGTAGTACCTATATACGGCGTAAAATATTACGCATCGTATCTACTTAGGCCAATATTATTTAGTTATACCTAAGATAAAATATTTATATTAAAATAATTCTTTTATAATATCAGATAAGAAATCTATTTTATATGTATGTTTTTATATTAACCCTCTACAGTTTAGATCGACAATATTGAAATCAATTTAAGTGTAAAATCAAATATATGTAAAATATGGATAAAACAAACCTTTCCCATTCGTTTGTTGAACACTCCCTTCGGCAATTTTTTTCATCTCCAATGCATATACTTTTGCTTCCATCTCCAAAGTATCTATGTTGCCACTATGCTCTCCACTTGCTATTTCTAGTACTGTAATAATAATGTGTTATTACCAAAACATGTTGCGTTTGACCAAAAATACGTTTATGCCAATATGTTTTAGGTTTAGGCTAATTTTAAATATGACCAATGAAACATACAAACAGCCGAAGTCATGTTTCTACATGGTTAAAACACATGACGAATAGTTATACGAGTAGGTTCATATTAAATTCTGCGCATAAATATTTTAATTATAAAACCTTCCTTTGAGATTAACGGCTGTTTTTGTTCTTAAACGCTCGTTAGTAAAATATATATATCGTTAGTTAGTAATATAATATATAGTTTTTTTTTCTTATATGTTCGTTATTAAACTTACTAAAATCGGCTAAATTATAATAATGCGGACACAGGAAACCGGCTCTATTCAAGCTATCAGGTAGATCAGATATGGCGCCGGCATACAACGTCCTTCCAGCTGCTAAGAGGATGACATCATCACCGGATGCGAACAGTTGGGAGGATGGCTGATGAATAACACAGGCGACTGTATGCCCACCGTTTGTTACTGCACGTAAGGATTGAGCCACTGACATTGAAGATACTGAGTCCAGACCACTGAAAATAGAAGAACCACTGTAAATACTGATGGAATATTTTGACAACAAATAACATACTTATTGAATGCAAGTTAAGTAGAATAAAAAATGCTTTAAACTGGCCTTAGATTACTATATATGTATATTTTCTTGATCATATTTCCCTTATAGGTATTTCTGTGCATGACACACGTCGTAAATTTTTGGATCTAAGATATGCCGGTTTCCTCAAGTTCTCTTACATGGTAAACAAGGCTTAATTGCGGACATGGAAATAAAATCAAAAAGTCGCGATTCTGCGCTTAGCCGCTCAGAGATATGAGAGGCAAAAGTAAAACGAACTAGTGATACGTAGTCGATGTTTTATTTGATGAAAAGGCTGAAAACTTGGTTTTTTTAAGCAAAGTAAAGATGACTTAAAAGAATCGCAGTGATTTTAGTTAGATAAGGTTATGTGTTATGTTTGAATATCCTTATAGCTACTGTGTTTAGTATCTTCGGCAATAAAACCCAAAAATTGAATGGTATATAACCCCCTGCTTTGCTAACTTATACGGGACAGTACGTAGAACAATTTAGGAGTACCTTGTAGGTTCGTCCAGTAACATTATATGTGGATTTGTAAGCAGCTCGCAAGCTATAGTTAGTCGCTTTCGCTCACCACCAGAAAGTTTGCCTGCTCTTGTATTAAAAATGTCATTGATGCCCAGTTGTTTTGTTACTGTTTCTATCTGCAAAGATTCGTAACATAGTTAAATATAGACACGAGAAAATAAGATATATTTAGCCGATGTTGTGTTTCCTTTATATCTCTTTCTAGAATATATAAATTAATATTATTCTTAAGTTACTATTGACTATTATTTCTTAAGTAAGATAAAATGTTCAAGTGGTTCGTAAATACTTAGTTCAAACAGAGTTTAAATTTTAAGGTAAACGTCAATGGAGGAGAAAACTGCCAAACTTTGCCACTAGTAGCGCTGGTATCGCTTGACCCATAACAAATGCAAACAAAGCTCTCAATTTTTTCTCTCTCGCAATAGATATAGTATACCTACAATATAGTTCCGTTCATAACGAGTGGCGTTGGGTAATTTTAAAGCAGCCGCGAATAAAAGGGTTTCCTTTGCCGTCAATGTACCGATGAGGGTAGCATGTTGTTGGACTAATACAATATCACTTCCTGCTCCGACGACTGTTCCGGATACACCAGTTTTCCTGTAATAAACATCTTAATTAAACTTCTTAAGGGGGTTTTAATGTAAGTAATAAACGTATATTACTTAAATTATCTTTCAAGTTGCAGCAATTCTCGAATACTTTTTTTAAATAAATATCTTACATTCGGATACAATTCTCAATTACATGACTGATTTTACTGAACAATTTTTGGCTAGCTATATTATAGATAAATTAGTGAGCGGATTGACTATAAATCATGTTTATCTACTATTAGGTAAGACATAAGACAATCTAGCTTTAGAAGCTGGCTGTTCAGGGTATTATGGGTATGACACTATCTGCATAAATATATTCTTGAAGCCTTGTTGTATGTACAAATAATATAAACGATTATAAAACAAATGGCTTTCACCAGTATAATACTCGAAACAGAACTAATTTAAGCGTACGACCAAACAGGCTACAGAAGATAAACCACTCATTATATGGAAATAGTATTCGTTTTTTACAACAAACTCTCAAGCGAAATTAGAGAATTATCACTAAATAAATTCAAAGCTCTCGTTAAACGTAAATTAATAAAAAATAACTTTTTATAAATTTGACGAATATTAAAATGATCTTAATCCTTGCGATTGATTTGCTCCAGTTCAAACAAATTGTATGACTCAAAACTTAGCGATTAAAAAGTGTGGCGGAAAGTTTCTTGCCAGTTCTTCTTGCCCGCCCTACGCGACCCAACCACCAGTTTTATGATAAAAACAAACTACAAGTTATAAAAATAATATTTTTTGCTATGGTTCATTGTGTTTGATTAGTCCTGGTTACTATATTATCTGTGTGACTTTGTAATAATATTATACGACACGATAATGTTTAGTGAAATGCAAGTATGGGTTAGATACATTAACCACCATTTTAAGTGAATTAATTTTATTTAATGTTTTGTTACAATTCACTAATAATATAAAGAAATAAAAATTTGTGCATCCAATAACTTGTATATTCTACACAAGAATTTATTATTTTATGCAAATTATTTGTCAGTGGTGTTTGCGATCAGTCGGTTATATTTTGATTGACATAATGGATATGTTTAATAATTATCTATTACTTCTAATGTACATTTTTATTTGTTTTCTTGCTAGTTAAGGTGCGAAGCCGGAACAGGGAGCCACACAGCTGGACGTTTGTTTTTAATAATATGGAAAATAATTATAGCAAAGGGATACTGTAGCATCCTAATGGCACATCAAAAATGCCTTTTTATAGATTTTCTCGGTTTACATAGAAAGACTAGCTACCGGATTCGCACAGACATCTGTGAATATCGTATAAATATTATTGCAGGCCATATAAACGTTTTTATATACTTACCTAAACCTGTTTAATGAATCATTCTAAATATTTGTGAAAACTACATTCATAAATATTAAATTTTAAATTTTTGGGATACTTTGATTTATTTAAATGTTTTAGTCTTATGTGCACTTAAAAATAGTTTTGACTTATACGTACTTCCTTCCTGCCAATATTTTGAGAAGAGATGTCTTGCCGGCTCCTGAAGGACCCAGGATGTATGTCAATCGCCCTGGTCGAATCGCACCAACTGCGCCATTGAGTATCGTTTGTTTTTGTAGATTTTTCTTAAACCATGATCTACCTTGGAAAAGAGATTTAAGGTAAGTAATTTTTTAGTTATGATTTACCGTTTGTTGTATGGCCATTTATCAGCATTTTTTTGTGAAGAGCCACAGCACAAAATAAGTTTAATAATTAATATAAAACAAAGTTGTTTTAAGAAATGGATAAATAATGGGGATAGGCAAAAAATCATTGAAGCATTAAAAATGTTTTTTTTTTAACTTTTATTTTTCTTATGGCAAATGAAACTTTACGACGAACCGCTGGCAGAAATCATTCAAAAAACACAAAAAAATTATATCTCGAAAACTACAAAAAATCGCGGAACATAAGGGGGTATTTTTGTATACCCCCAGGTGTGAGGAATCTAAAAATGTTTTATTGACGTCACTAGTTGGACCATCCTGTATATGAGGAAGTATCTTACAATGGACGTTTTACCAAGTCCTACTTTATTTTTATAGTATTTATGAGTTTTCATATGATAATATATTTTTAACGTTTATTTTATTGCTCACATAATAGTAAGCTTAATTTTACAATATAATACAATAAATACAATTATAACTGGTTCTAAGGTGACGGTCCATTCAACTGGTTTAAAAAAAATACTAGTGTTACTGTTTTTTATTATTTACTGGTTTTACGGGTTTGTAAATATTCTAAGATGTTTATAAATAGGAATAAATTTGCCTTTGCCTTGCCATTTGCAATTTCATGCCACTTTCAGCGGCAACTTCAGCTGATTTCGTCCATTAAAAACTATAAAGATATCGTCCGCAAAAGTTATAATTTTTGCATAATGTATTTATATAGATTAGGAAAAGTGTTGAACCAAACACAGATCCACCCGGAACACCAAAATATACATGTTTCGGTCGATTATGTTTAATCGCCTATTTTTACAACTTGAGATCTTTCCGTCAGATAGATAGATCATCAAATCTATTGCAATACCTCGAATACCAATTGATTGTCGAGAGTAAAGGGTATTGAGACAGTAACGAACGCTTTTGCGAGGAATACTCCAACACACTTCCACTCTAGGCCGCCAGTAATGTGTGATACTACAAAGAGCACAAATACACAGTACAAATAGCATTAGATATTTATTATTCCTTCATATATTGATTTTATGAAATGATGTTAATTTTTTCCAGTAAGTTGATTAGTTGCGCGATTAAAGCAGTTGTAATATTTTTTATAATACATATTAAGACGATACCGTCAAGGCCAGAAGTTTTAGTATTCTTTAAAGTAATAATAATAATAATCTTTATTCATTTCTCACAAAAACTTAGTACACAAATAAGTGACAGTTATATACTATATTAAATAAATAATTGTCTTACTTCTGTTAAGGGAAAATGCTAGTTTGTGGGAGACTGCTGCCTGCTAAAGGTAAGAGTACCTGTGTTACAGGTCATCAGGCCTCCACCACTTCGGATCGACAGAAGGTCTTATATAGTGGAGGTAAATCTAGTGAGAATAAACAATCATTATTACATAGGCTGCAATATATATAGAGTGTATAGGTATAATGTCATTTAAATTTACATTATACTTTAACATTTAATTTGATTAGTATGGACGCCGAAAATTTCAAACTATGAATGAGTTTTTATAACTAGAATATTTAAAAATTATATAATATAAAATAACTAGATTAATCATATAATATAAGAATGTTTAAATTATTTTGACGTTATGATGTTATGTTTTAATCTATTACGATTACCTACTTCTACGAGGAAATGCACTCAAAGTTTTCGGGATAAATGTTATATAATTAAAAGTGGCTAGCATTTGTTTTTTAATTTTTTTTAATATTACAATTATTAATATAAATTTAAGTGAAATGAAGGCAATCCGCAATAGAATATTTCGTTTGTGTGAATATTACACATACAATAAATTACTGGATTACAGGTTTAATTAACACAATTTTATTCAAACATTTTGATTGGCTACGAAAATAATATACATACGCGTCGATATGGCGACCTCCTTCGGGTGTTTCGAACGCGAATAATTGATTTTAAAGTCGCGTTTTATAGATTACATATGTACAAATTTATTACGAATCCATCATTATAAAGTAATAAATATAAATTCTTGTAAATACAGTACATTAGTGTCAAGGTAGTGCAATGCACATATCCTGCACTTCATAACTAAACAAATTACTATATACAAGCTTACAAATGCATAATTTGTTACTAGCTTTTGTTCGCGGTTTCACTGATTTCTATATGTTAAGTATGACACTATAAAATAAATATGTTAGACGATACGTTGTGTCGTAAGAATGTTATAATTGCACATTAATAATTTTAATAACAAATTATCTGCTATAACATTGATATGAAGAATTATGATTAATTTAGATTATCTGAATGATTTTATGTTGTATATCGCTATGTAATAATTATTATAACTACTATAGTATGTGCGCTGTATCATGGTGCGTCACATAGTATAGTTACTATTTTACAAACTTAAACAACAAAAGATATTATGCTGGGTGAGATACCTCTAGATCTGGCTTGTTGGCTTTACAAATAAACCGGACAAATGCACAATCAAACGTTCATTGTTGTTTTGCCAAAGGCACCCCACAGGCTGTTAACCTCGGCTTTAAGTATTGCTGTTGACAAATAAAGAGCCAAAAGGCGGATTTTATATGAATTAATAAGAAGTAATCAAATTGTTGTAACGATAATCATGAAAAATGAATTATATTCATGTTCGCATCGCATTAGGGCGTTAACTATGATTTGTAATAACCACATAAAATGACCATAATATAGAATTAAAACAAATTATAATTAATTTTGATTTAATTTTAATTTGTACAAGGTTCATTAGGAGGAGTGCTCAGTGGGCATGTTTTACATTTATGAGAATGCGAATGATAAACGTTTAGAATATTTTTTATGGGAAAGGAGTCCAACGAGTAAGCACTAAAAGTTCAGTGTTTGCCGCCGCCCATGGACATGGAAGCGTTGTGCGTTCGTGATGAGTTAATCGTTTCGAAGTATAGCAATACTTGACAAAACTAAATAAGTGTGTGTAAGCAGGAACTTTATGAATTTTATGACAACAACACGTAAAATTCGAATAACATGATAGATTTTTGTATAGAAAAATTAAGAAGCGTAGCGTTTACTTTTTCACTGTAATGTGTTAACACACGCATTCTCATTCGTATTTAATACACAAATACTGTTTATTTGCAATACATATACTTAACCTACAATGTAGGTTAAGAAAATGAATACAGTGTAGGTAGAGAATTATAACAAATTTAAAAAGTTTGCCTGTTGTTCTGAGTTATTTTAATGCTGGCAACATTTCCTCGCTCTATTGTGATGCTTATTCGTTGAGCGAGGATAGCACCAGCTCTCGGGTCAACGGTATTATCTACCAGGTGTCAACTGAAATCTTTAATTAGCGCCTTTGCACTTGAACCCCACGGCCTAAGAGTCTCTACTCTAAACGGAACAAACAATTGTCGCCCACACATACACACACACACACAAACACACACCAAATTTATTTTTATGACTCCGTTTGCAATGCTTTCTTTTACCACTTACTTATTTTCTTCTATTGTATCTTATGACAATGACCTGATTGTACGTGTTCCGGTCCGGTGGTGGAGAGGCTGGCTATCTGTCACTCAGGTCTCCTGTTACAGAGACCAATCTCTCACATACACTTCCAAATGTTATCATCTTAGTTTAATCATAATAACCTTGTATGTATATGTGAGAGAAGAAATAAAGATTATTTATTATTATTAATTAATCGTAAAAAGATTATTAGCATTGACAGCTTTTTTTTTAAATAAATTCTTATTGAGCAGAGCGAGCGAAGCTCCCATGCGCCCACTCTTATGACACTCTGTACAAACACTAAGGCTTTTGAACGGCTTAACCGATTTTGAAAATTCTTTTTTTAAATTAAAGATGGAAAAATTTCCCGTGCTATAGGCTATAAAAACTCAATAATATTTACGAATAAATCACAAAATAAGCGGAAAAACTAATGTCTATGGGAAAAAAATGTTTAAAATCAGATTTTGCCAATTTAACTTATGGTGAGCAAGACAATAAAATTTTTGACGGCTTTTCTCGAAGTTTCAAATCGGTGGAAAATTTAGCAACTGACGAAAGTCCTTTCAATAAAATCAAATCTTTAAATTAAATGTTTTGAATCTATGTATTTTTACTCATCATTAAAAATTGAGTTGAACACTCGCTCCGCTCAAATTTGTGCTGAAGCGAAGCAGCAGAATTGCGAGCACTGCGGCGTCCTAGTATTATTTTTGTTTTAAACATGTACCACTGTCTAGTTACCCATAACACAGGGGCTCCCTTCCGGTCAGGTCATTTTTGTCAGAAACTCATTTTGTTATGAATAAAGTTTAGAATTATTAAAAATAGTAATATAATTTGGAAATAAACTATGTTTTCACGGATTAAGAATAATTGATTGCAAAATTGAGATTATTATTTACGAACGCGATTTATACATTTAAATGTAATCCATATAAATTGAGTTGTTTTTGTATGATGTGTTTATTTTGTATTTAAGTAATGTTTTTATTGCAAACGCTTACAAAAGATAAAATTATTTTTGTTTAATAAAAGCAATCAAAGACATGAGATTAATGTTGTTTAATAACGTAGGTAGCATCGATAAATCATGTTAATCTGATACCAAACATTATTTATCAGAATAAATATCTAAAGTACTTACATCTGTTGTTATCTTCTAGATATATATTGACTAGTCGAGTAAGAAAAAATAGTATCATTAATTTAAGGAGAATGTTCAAAAGAATATCACGAGCTCTAGATGTGCCCATACATTTTAAATTGGATTTTCCGCTGCTTAAAATGTTTGTTTGTTAAATTTAGAGTTTAAGCAAAATAATACGTATTAAATATACGAAAACGGTCTAAAATTAAAAATATTTTATTTTAAAATTAACCTTTAAGTGTAGTTTTAAATGACAATCACGCGAATAAAAGTCTTAAATTAACGGACAAAAACTTTAAATAATGTGAAGTACGGATAAAATATATTTTAATTATAAATTCCTAAAGTACCTACTTAATTTTTATAAAACCAATGTTGATAGTAGACTGTGAAATGTGTGATTAAATTGTAATTGTAAATGTATTAAAATCTGAACAAATGGAATGAATTCAATGATATTCTTGTTACGTAGATACAATTGTAAAATAATAATAATCTGATATCCGATCATTAATCAAAATCTATTATTATTAAGCGTAAGTCACGCGAACTCATACTGAATTGAAAGACATTGTAAGGATCAACTGAATCTAGATCCACCTTCTTGCCTTTATAGTACAATAAAACAGGCGCAAAAAACTTCTTTGGATATATACTATATAAATTAAACGGCGAGAGGGAAAATCTTAGTGATTTAACAAAAGTAATATTTTATGGGCGCGTTCTATGGTGTTCATTGAAGTTTATTCTATAGAACATAAAACTGACAGAAAGCCTGATATCGCGGAACGTGCCTGAATGGAAAGTAAGAACCAGTTTGTATAGGCAAGTGCAGCGTTTGCATAGCGACTTCAGCGTGCGATTTAGCCCTGAGGTCGTAGGAAGGACTCTCTATCCTCCGCATTTAAGACTCGCTCATACGGCGAAGGAAGACACAAAAAGTCGAGTGTCAGGCACAAAAGACTGATCACCAGCTCGCCTAATAGAAAAATAAACGACGGGTTGCACTCTGGGAGTGCCGGCAGAAGTGAAAACTTGAATATTAACGTTGTGCATTTTTGATATATTGGAATGGTTAGGGAATAATTTTGTACGAATTGCTTTAATTATCAATATAAAAGTACCTACTATCATTTATGTGGTAGAATACAATATTTACTTATTGCGCTATCGTATACAAACATGACAATTTATATTACATTAAAACCGTAACTATATATTACGAAGGTTCATAATACTTTAAAAAACATCCGTCTTACGAATTTCTGACGCGAGTTTAACATTTTTTACCCATTCCAAAAAAGTGTACAACGCCGCTAAAGAAGTTTTCACTTCAAAAACAAATGATAACAAACCTTATAGGATGTAGCGCCACTAGTATTTATGCTTTTAAATTGTTAAATTTGATGAATTGAGAATTATGCATTACGGGATGAACGTTGGTGATCGCCCAAATGATTCTTTATTGCGAGAGTGAATGCTACTCTTTAGAGTCGTAACTACGCCTCGTAATGTGTAATGTATCTACGCCTTAACGTAGGAGTTAAACTTGCCACTTGCCCTTGGGGGGAAGGGCTTATTAACCGCATAAAACGTAACAAAACAAACAAACCTGTTATATCCCTCCCTTACTTGACGTTGATATTTGTAATATAGAAGTGATTACTACAATGCAATTATTCTAATTTATATTTCTCTAAATTACTAGTTGCACAGGCGTTATTAAGGTTATCTTACAAAGCTATTATTAGTCTTTATAACGTAAATTCTAAATCATTAACACGATTGTGCATAATACATACTTATAAAAGATCTTTTATAGAAACTACAAACCAATCAAAGACCGCGTCTGGTAAGACAAGGCTCTCAACTTTTGTCTCTTAGGATAGTAGAAAATGAAGGGGTGATGCTAGAACCCATAGTGGGTCATAAACCATTTAGCGTCCATCTCATTGATAATTTTTCTTAATGGACAACTAGGTTATCAGCCTTCCGAGTCACACCTCGGTCATTGGGTCTAACATGTTCCTCGCGATGTTTTTCATCATTATACAAGTATCAATTGCGCACATAGAAATCTTTTGCACAAGCGGAGTTCAAAGACATGACCTCAGCGCTCAGGCGCTTGATGGCATTTAAAATTACGTTTTAAATTTATGGAAAATCCAATGTTGTGCTGCCAACAAAGAATATTATTATATCAAGAATGTATTCGTTTGGCATAGTTGACGATGTTTGAAGAAAGGATGACTGTGAGACGGAACCGGTTATAATACTTACCAGTTACCGGTACATATGTATTTCGAATGTAAATAACACTTCATTGATAGTAGTCCTGTTATTGTTTATTAATTAAATCACAGTTCTAACTTGGTTTAATAAAATGAGGCTATTATTAATATTGTGCTTTGAAGGAACTTATGAAATATATTTCAATAAAATCTATTAAATTCATGCATACTACCTGTTCCAACGAATGGATTGCACTAATAGTATCCGAGATCAACAAACTTATAACATGCCAACACCCAATGGAAAGGAGCATGGTGGGAATAAGAAAAGCTGTTAGATGGAAAATCAGGATCTTAGAGACTATACAAGAGTAAGTGACATTGCAATTACTATTAAGAAGCTGAAGTGGAACTGGACTGGACAAGTTCTAAGAGGTATTAAGAAGAATGAAAGGTCCAGTAATTTGACAGAATGGTGTCAAATTACTGGACCTAATATTACGGAATATACGGAATATTACGGAATGCGTGGTAGGACGATGCGAGGACTGCCACATAAGGCGCATTGAAAGCGAATGGAAAAGAGAGTCCTAAGCCACTTGGCAAGCGCATGAGGAGGTGCTGGATATTATAACATTAGAACAAGAATAAATATTGTATATACTTTATGTTAATTTCCTAATATTATATTAATTTATAAAGTCAAAAGTACAATAGTAATGATTGTGATAAGAGTGACAAAGGTCACATCTATTATCTCAACCTACAAGCGGACCTCAATTTTTATCAAAAAGATAATTTTTCAACTATTTTTAAATGAATTAAATTATGTAATTATAAAGCCGCTAATATAATCTGACGTAAATTAATACGACCAGTTGAATTATTGGGTCAAGAGGTTGATAGTATCATAAAAGAAACTGCAAAAAATAAGTTTAGAATATGATATAATTTATTTATGTATTATACAAATAAACAATATTTAAAATTTTCTTAACAAATAAATTATGAAAAAAATAATTAATTATTTTTTTAAATTATTATTGGTTATTATTTTAATGATTACTTTGTAGGTTAAGAAAATTGTAAAAATAAGTTATAAATTGTATTATGTTATTTGTGGTAAATTGGCTCTGAGGCCAGTCTTAAAAATATATATGTTGAGTTAACATCTAATATAATATATTGTTAGGAATTGAGCCTGTATTTATTCCATTCTATATTCAAATTTTTTTATTCTATGAAAATTAACCAATGTTTCCGACTCATGCATGTCGTATGTAGTACAACTACATTTAAAACTATTATATTATAGTTTTTACAGGATATTGATATGATAATATACACAAATTCTATTTTATATAATATTTTAATTATACCTATTATAAATCTTAAAATATAAGGTACGTGATTATGTTAATATGTTGGATATACTTCTCTTGGATATCCTAACTAATTTTGTATTGTATTTAATAGTCAAAAAAAATTTCATATGATAAAAACTATATCACTGACACCAATACAAATCCAGTGCAACAACTTTCACTAACTTTTATGACGTCTTTGTTAGTATCGGTATAAAGTACATACCTTTTAATTTCATAGGAAATGTCCGTAAAAGCAGTAACATTATTCAATGCTTTAAATTCATTAACGACGATTTCTGTATTCATTATTATTTTACACACACGTGTGATTTACGCGTCAATTGTCGTATAACTAAAACGCGTTGAAGTTGTAAACACAAATAACAGATTAACGTTCTTATTTATTTATTTAATATTAAAGTTGGAATTCGAAATGCATCGAGCTCCCTTCACTACCGCTTGCGGAATGGCAACTTGCACATGAAGCAGAGAGTATTTTTTATTGAAAACGTAGGAAATTTTGGTGGGATGGTGCTTGTTCAGAACTTTTTTTTGGGACAGGAGGCCAATGACCAAGCGGGTCACTTAAAGTTCTAACTTCTACCCATGGACACATTCAACACCGGGAAGCTGGTGTGTTGCTCGCCTTTAAGGATGTAGTAGTCACCCTTTTTAAAAACTAAATTAAAAAGAGTGGTGAAGTTTCTTGCTACTTCGTCCCCGCTCGATGCCCTGGGTTTGGGAACTGGTAGTATTTGAATATCTAATATTGACTACGACAGACAAGTATGTCGTCCTAAATTTCAATAAATAAACTAATCAGTAAAACTAGGTCTCTCAATCACTAAAAGGTTTTTTAATAATAATAATAAAGACCTAAAAATAAATAGTCTATAAGTGTAAATAATTATATTTTGTCAGCTAAGGTTACAACTTGAAAGTTGAAACATTTTTTTAAGATTTTTTTCCATAAATGTTGGTGCTAAATGACAAGGTCATTTTTATTATATTGGATTACCTACCAAGTAAACTGGTTCAGAGGTGTAAAAATTACCACAATTAATGGACTTTGGAACCTAATTTATAAGTTAATAGAAATTAAGCATATTTGAAAATATTATGGATATAACATTGGTAATTAGCGTTTATTATTAGTACTTACGATTAGGAAATATATTTTTTCTGTCATTGAGTACCGGTATAATTTAAATATTTATAAGCAAAATGATAAAATAAAAAATTAAAAAAAAAAACTGCCGAAACAAGTCCCTACGGAATTTTTTTGTAATACTCTAAAGATACTCACCCAAACGGGGTTTAATCTCGTACACAATATCCGAAAACGCCATATATTGCCCATCGTCCAGGCATATAGAGACTCGCCCTATTTCCAAGTCCATTTTCGAACTGACGCAACAAACGGAAGCTTTAATTCTGTACAATCGTCAAGATGCGCAGAATTGAATGATTATACGTGCTTTGAGTTACTCAAAAGAGTATGTAATATTCTGCATATCTTTAAATATCTGATAACATTAATTATTCAAATCCGATAGCTGATAACTTAGTGGATTTAATTACATTCATAAATCATATGACCTATGGACTATTAATTAGTAGTTTCTCGATTTCATTCCCGTCGGAATAATAGGGTTGCGGTGCTAATGGCTAATCACATTTTTGTCATAAAAATTTCTGTATTCGTAGCATTTATCTACCTTTTAAGTAAATTATAAGACTGAAACTATTATTAATGTTCGACTCCATTATTTTGATTCCAAGTAATTCCAGCTTTGCTACAGCGCTATTCGTTATTAAAAGAACCACATTGATTCGGTATATTCGGGATTGCTATTGCATGTAAACTTTGCGATTGGACTAAATCAAATATATCACCTTTTTAAATATTTAGTAATTAGTTAAAACCATTTTCTAACTTTCTCTTTATATCAGAGCGATAAGTCTGGGCTTCGCACCGTTGAATATTTATTTTATTTAAATATTTTTAAAATATACAACTTTCCAATTCGGTCCAGTATTCTTTATAATATCTACTTATTAGTATAGTTATGTGTTACGTGACTTCAGATGTGTTCTTATTACAAACCATGTGGTAGCAAAACAATCCTACTAATATAAGAAACGCGAGTTTGTTCGTATGGATGTATGTTTGTTACTCTTTCACGTAAAAACTACTGAATAGATTTTAATGAAACTTTATAATAATATAGCTTGTACATCAGAATAAGACATACATAGGGTACAGTTTATAGAGATATGAATTGTCCAAAATATCAAGTAGGAAAATATCTACCATCTGCGAGCTATTCTGGCGTGCGCTGCCAAAACCGCTAGAGTTACACAAATGTAACGTATGATGGAAATGTTTATCCTTAATAGTCCTACAAAATAGCCCACCACAGTATATATCTATGTCTTATGTGTAAGCCATTATAACCAAAATAGTGACCAATAATTACAATAAAATTTTGATAATTGATTTCAAATGCACTTATGGTAGCAATTAATTGATTCCTAAATGAAAATAGATACTCTTATCGCTTCTGGTATTTCAATTAGATAAAATACGACTTTCAGGCATAATTAGACATTATTTGGACAAATATTATTTAAATCCTGCGCAGACGAAGTCGAGGACACCAGCTAGTAATGTTATATAAGGAAGAGGAGGTATATAGGTTTAATAAAACATTATGCAATAAATTCTTTATTTATTTACACTTAAATCATCCGTATAAAATGAACACAATTTACCACCCAATATTTGAGCAATGCAGTATTTCAGATAGACCCATAATATAAGGCATCATACAATCATACCATTTACTAGATAATCCTAAACCCCGCTTTTTCATTAAACATTGTATGTACAGTATAAACGTTACAAATGTTACAATTATGTATAATTTGTATTAATAGATTCGTAATTAAAATATAAATATAGCTGTCTCTTTTATTAATATACATCAAATAGAGATAGCAACAACATCGAGCTATTTTTATGAATATCTTTACACATTAGTAAATATTCAGAACAAAGTAATATTCAGAACATTATGGTTATATAGTTTGTACTAAAGTCCCTATATGACAAGTCACAATCTCGTCTGGAGCGCTGTCAAATATATCAGACTTCATACATAAAAAATGATTTGACAGCTCATGAAACTTGATTTAAGTTTGACGTTCTAGAGAACGGGCTTAAGTCTAGTTTCTGAATCTGTACATATGAGCACAAGGCAACATTTGCATTCTCTTTACAAAGGTTTTCATATTCACACATTTGAAAATATTTGGCAAAAGTTATAGTTCAGGTCTATACGTGTTCATTGTTAAGTTAATGACAACCTATGTATGTGTAAATCACAGATTAAAGAGTCGGGTCGATACAAATTCGATTTAATCTATCTATTTTTTATCTTTCTCTACTTTTGTGTCCGAGTCACTGGACTCGAACTATACTGAATTCTCGAGTAGCTAGTTGATGTTTAAGATTCTTTAGAGCTCTTTATTTAACAACCTTTTTATCTTTTACTTATTTTACTGAATAATACAATATAAATTATAGTATTACATAATCATATTACATTTGTACACCACTGTGGTTTGTTTTAATGTAACATAGTACTGTCAGGAGCGCGACAAATGCATATAAAAATAATTATTCGTATCTGCCGTCTACTGGGAGCAGATATTTTAAGAAATACATCACAATTCTAGCTTTATATATTGTTTTAATTTTCAACAGAGTCCAACCTAACTAGTTTGTGTACATAATAATGGTATTAATATATTTGTCGCATATGATTCGTAACTTCTCAGCTTTTGATTCTGATATTTGAGAGCATATAAAATAAGAACTCCATGGCACCTACAATTCTAAAACAACCTCGCACTTATTCAATATTTATACTTAATATAACTTATAAATAACATTCGATTGCCCATTTGAATAAGTTTGTACAAGCCATGACTGGATAAAAGTGGTTAAAATTTTAGGAAGTTTCATTATTATAACTGATGGACCCCTTTTTATTTAAATAATTTACACGATTTAGGTATTAGAATCGAAACTTAGCGCTAAGTCTGACTCCCAAACGTCAAAAATGTATTATATTTTGACATACGGGAGTCATAGTTTGCGCTCAGTCACCCTTCTATTTCTTCTTGTAATCTTAGCCAATATCATCATTCAAATTAGCGTTTCTAATCACAGACATCACATGATTTACAAATCTGTTTTAGTTCCGTTTATTTAACTATAATATCTCATTATAACATGCCCATAATAATTATATTTCGTTAAATCTGTAATAGCGTTTACTAAGTCCCATTTGTATTCAAATGTAGTTTAATTTTTGTTCTAAATATCTATAGTTAACTTTTGTAGTAAATTAATATCATTTCTTTGACGACAAATCAATTTGTATGCAGAATTTAAAATATCGAATTTTGACTTAAATTACAATACTCTTGTATCCTTTCAACACAGCCTAAACACAATTTGAAAGAAAGAGACGAATGAGTTCCAATTATAATGATTTAGTTTGGTTTACAGTACAACTGTTTTTTTAATGCGTGCGGAACGTGCGGACCATAAATATGAGCAAAATTGCGGATAAACGGAAAACTGGTAGACACAAAATGGCTACAGAATATCCGATGGTGGACGAGGGTGAAGTCAGAAAAATTTGTTTAGAACAATTGTTTGATTTCGTAGAATCACTGTCAATTTTTATTAATTGGAGAGGCAAGAAGGCTTTATAAAATTAAATTACTTTAAATATTGCATACAAAATACTTATTCCGACACTAACATGGCAAGAACTTTCTTAAGATTCAAACGTTCATCACAAATTTAGTCTTCTTAGGCTCATAACTTCTATCCAATACATTTAAACCACTCGTTATCGCTACGAGTCGTAGATCTTAATCACGTTTCAAATGAACCAGAAACCCGTATAAATAATTGATCTTTGGAATGCTGTCACTAATTTACCATTTAAATTTTAACCGTATTTTCAGTATAAAGTACGTCAAACTAATAACTACCGCGCCAATAATGGCTAAAGCTCCAAATGCAACTAAAAATGTCTCGTGTAACATACCATAATCTTTCAAAAACTGTCGAGGCTTCGCATAATGGCAGTATGTGTCCGTGCACGCGAGTTTCGGCCGCTCCATTCCCATAATGGAGAGCACTAAACCAACCAAACCGTGCTTCAAAAAGGATATATGGAATATCCATTGGAAAAAGGCTGGTGCGTCATCGAATTTCAGGAAAAATCCAGAAAATACTGTGAAGGGCATTATCAGGAATGGTCCGAAGATCACAGCGTTCTGAAAAATAGATAAATCTTATTAATAAGATAAATATTAATTCCTTAAGGACTTTTTCTACGCTCAGAATACACTCGCTCGTAAAGGAAAACATCTTGAGGACTAAGCGTGAGGATTTTATAAACACTATCTCACTTATTATAAAAAAAATAATCACTATAATTGAAATTAATTAAAGTACTGTTCAGTAACAGCACAGTATACCTAGTAGTGAGATTAGAATATGTCTTAGAATATTTGACATACATCCCATACATTGCCCCAGATTGTCTTGCCTTCCGGCATAGGCCAACCCAATTGTTCTGCACAAAGAAATTTGTATTTAGTAGATTGATGATAAATATATATATTTTTTAAAGTTTTATTCGATTTAAATTATCTACGGTAATGAGGATAATCAGGATGGAAGACTTCATCATGGAAAGGACCAAAAGGTGGCAAAAGGCGAGCTCAAACCTTGCCAAGCCGGCTCACACCGACTTCAGGTGGCCTGTGTTAGGGAAAAATGGTATTGCTTGGGTGCTAAAAATATGTACTACAGAAAATGCAATTTAAAAATAAAATAAATTTGAATGATTTTAGAATATAACTCATATTTATAATTAAAAAACCGAGTGATTTCTTTAAGTAAACCAGTGGGCTCTTCAACCTTTTTAGTTCTGGGCCTCAAATTTCTTTATCTGTTTCGTGATAATTTATCAATCTAATAGGCAAGTATATGATCAGCCTCATGTGCCTGACACACGCCGTCGACTTTTTCGATCAAAGGCAAGCCGGTTTCCTCACGACGTTTTCCTTCACCGTTCGAGCGCGATGTTAAATGCGCACCAAGACAGAAAGTCGATTAGTGCACAGCTGGGGATCGAACCTACTACCTCAGAGATGAGAGTCGCAAGCCCTTAGGCCAACATTGCTCAAATTTAAAATATTAAAGGTTAAAGCCCTACCTTAACAGTAAACAGAGAGCCGTTGAACAGTCCCACACAAACAGCCACATACGAAACCAGAATAAGTGTGAAACAGTACTGAGCTATTCGCAGACTTTCCAGCGGTTGTCCAGTCAGCAGGTAGGTGATGAGGCAAAAGGACAAAGTGCTGATAGTCTGCATAGGCAGTATTGAGGCCAAAGTGGAGCCCAAATAGGCACCTGTGTTGTACCACCGATTGAAATGTTCCCGGCGTGCGATTGGCACTTGATCTGGAACTGTTATAAACAATTATCTATTATGTGTTCATTGACGTTTCATTTAATTTGTTTGTTAGTCTGTGGAAAAGACGCTAGTTTTGGATTGTCATTTAAATTTTTGTTCGAAGCTGTTTTTGTTGGGTTATTTCGGATTTTAAAGGTATTCGATTAAAGTAATTGTTTTCAAGTAAAATAAGAAATATCAAATACTAAATGTTTTTTTACATAAATACATATTTCAGCAACACAGAGTTTCATTCATCATATATATTTTTTTAAATATTAATACATTTAGTTAGAAGACATACACATTCAAATACAAACATAAAAAAAATAAAAGAAAAGAGACAAAATTCAGGTTTACTAAAATGACTAAATACTACAGGTAAATTAGCTTGGAGAAATTTTTGCGTTTGTAGTAGTGTATGGTCAGCAAATAAAAAAAAAAACAACATTTTATTTTTAGTTTTTATTTTTTTAAAGGTAATATACGTTTGTGGCTGGAGCACACCAAATGCGTACACGTCTACGCATACGCACTACGTACTAATACGGACGTGAAAATGTGTATCCACTGCATTGTAATCTATGGAACTGTATGAGGCAGATAAGCCAGTTCCAAATATTACAAGCAGTGAATGCCGGTTTTCACTTCAGTGAAGACGTGTATGAATTAGGTGTTCTCCGGCCATAAATGTTTTATTCTAATAATTCATCAACCCCAGGCATATCACAATCATCCCCATCCTCGCTTTCATCAGATGAATTATTTAAATTAATTATGATTCGTTCTGATATTGTGTCTAAAGCTGCGTCTCTACCCTGATATTTGTTTTCCTCCTCAATAGCATGCAGACAAACTTTTCTCCATTCCTCTACAGTTATGGCGTTCATTTTTTCTTCAGCTAATGACATTATAACCTTCATATTCATTGCGACATTCTTTTTTGCGACATATGTTTTCACTATCCCCCATATATTTTCTATAGGATTAAACTCCGGATGGTATGGTGGTAAACGCAGCACAGTATGACCGTGCTGTCGTAATATTTCGTCTATCTTGTACTCTACAAATCTCGCCTTGTTTTGCAGAATCAGTTCATATAATTGAGGCTTAAGCAACGTGGATGAATGCTCAATGTTTCGCAATGTCAGCCAGTCAATCATTTGCTGTTTTCTAGAATTACTATTCGGTGCAGGATTTTGTATTGAGTTATGATATGGTGCGTTGTCAACAACAACAACACTATTTGGTTGTAAGTTGGGTATTAATTGAGTTTGAATCCACCTTGAATAGTTGTCATAGTTCATATTGTCGTGGTAATCTCCACTTTTTTGGTTGGCTTTAAACATAAGCAATGCATTTGGTATAAAGCCATCCATACCACCGGCATGAACAATGATTAAGCGGTTGCCTTTCGATATATGTTGCTTCAAACCTGAAGTGCTTCCATCTGACCAAGATTTCGAGAGGGTATGTGATGTATGTATATATGTTTCGTCGGTGTAAACAATTGGTCGGCGTTGTTCACGATATTCAGCAATTTTCATCAAATAATTAATTCGCAAGTATCTAATTTCGTGTTTTTCCATAAGAAGTTTCCGGTTATCTTCTGTTTGCTTCCAATTAAAACCTAATGACATGACGTGTTTTCGTAACGTGCTGACACAACCTTTATAATCGATATCTTCTTTTAATTTTGCGTGCAAAGTTTTCAAAGTGGGAATTTCTTTATTTGTGATGTGGAAGTCATGAATTGTTCTTCTGATAACTTGCTGATCAAAGTTATCGATTACTATTGTAGGTTTACGATTCGGTTTCTTTTTAGGAGATTTAAATGTTACTTCCTGATCTGAAGGTCGACATTTGCTTTCTGATACTACCTTTCTGACGGATGCTATTGAAATTCCCGTTGATTTAGCAACTAATTGAGTGGGAGTCATAATACTGCTCGGGTTGTTATTACACTCATTTTCGAAATATTTGTACAAACAGTACAAAACTTCTTTAGTTTGAGAAGTCAAAGGCTTGCCTCGACCATGTTTTAACACTGGAGCCATTTTTAATTAACAATATAAAGTTGCAACACTTACACACAAATTAAACACTTCAACAAATATTATAACAATAATAACAAACAATAACAACAATCAACAAATACAAAATTTAACAATTAACGTAATAATTATAATTTTTGAATGAAATGTGTGCTTTATGTTCTAACAGTACCAAGCGACTGACGCCGGACTGCACGTGGCACCTGCGGACAGCGTAAACTGGTTTATTCTGGTTTTGTGCGTGTTTCCACTTTCCACTATCAAGTGACGATTTTTTGCTTTAGATTGAAATATCTCGGAAACGGTGCGTCCTAGGCCAAAAATAAATTTTGACCCCCCGTAGACCCCCGGAGTTTTAAAAACCTAGATGAAAGGAAAAAAAATATATATCGGTCTCTCCTCTTTGAAGTTTCACTTCTATCGTGTGTGAATCGCGCACACACCTTTTTTTATAAAGTCAAAACCTTTTTTTTAAATAAAAACTTGTTTTTATTGATAACAAAAATCAGAGTGTTGCTAGGGATAAGTATAATATTAAATAGTAATGTTAGGATATCGAAACATTTTTGTATAGGCCAGAACGATATAGTGGAAACGCGCTCTAAGATCTGAGTAATATACACACCACTACATATGCAAAAATTTCTCGAGACTAATTTCACTGTAGGATAACTGAATCTGTCTTAGAAAATATCAAATACGAAAGTACTTTTTCGTCTCTTTCCGTCATATGGTGTTTACGTTGGGATGAAAAGAGAGATGGAGAAAGTGAAAGCGGTCCAATTAGAATGATTTATTTTCTGAATTAGGAGATATGCGATTAAAGTCCGAGGTCTTTATGGCTTTCAACTATATAAGGGTACAAACTCAACGTGAGGTTATAGAAGTAAATTTTACGAAGAGTTTTATTACAAACACACGCAAAGAAGATTTATAGATCGTCTCTCGCTGAGTTCGAGAGAGAAAAGCACTCGAAATCGAGTTATGTTAATAAATCCCGTTTATATCCGCTAAGTTTAATCTTAGGTGTATTACTCGTAAAATTAAAAAAAAATGTGATTTAATATTAAGCGATTTCCGGTATCTTCATTGAAGTCATTCATTTGCAACTAGTCTTGGCTTCACACGACTTCACTACAAATCTTTCCTCTTTATAATATTAGTACATGATAAGTTATGTATTTAGGAAATCAAGTGATTTATAATTCATTACACAACACATTATACACATTAAATAATGCTGCCAGCATTATAGCTAACTAATTAATTAAAACATAAAAATTTCCGATTTGGATTTCGATTCAGAAGCCTTACCATATGACGTCGTAACTCTCAGGTTGCACAAACTAACCCAGACACAGCGCACACACGCACAGCCACACTCTCAAATACACTCTCGCGCACACACTCTCATATATACGCATACTTAAGGGATTTTTAGTTTAATTAGATTTAACATTACGTTTTCTTGAATAGTTAAATACATAATTGATATTCCTTTTGTTTTAAATGTGCATGTACTACGGAATAACTGTAATCTAGTTACCCACAATACAGGGGCTCCCAAGTGTATTCAAGACAATTTTATCACAACCATATTTTGTTATGAATAAAATTTATTATGTATCCATAACATTGGTTTATAAATAATTTAATTAAAATTTAAATATACTTACATCGTACAGTGGCGCTGCTAAACGCAGTGAACATGAGAAACATGAGACTGAAGTAGAGAAAGTTGAAGTTGTCTCTCATGTACTTGGCATCTCCTCCCACTTTGAAGAAGAGAGAGCCCACGAACAACCCCATCATTATGTGGATGCTCACATTCATTAGTACGAAGGATGGGTCGCGCCATATTGTCTGAAATTATTTTTTCTCATATTAATATTTCAAAAAATGGAGGCAAAATTTATTGTAATATTATGAAATCGTTAAAAGTTTATAACTTTCAACATATATTGAGTCTTAGTTAAACGTTACTTTAATGACGTCATCTTAGTTTTTTTTTTTAATTTTAGACGTGTCAAAATTGTATAAAATTATATATTGAACAATATTCAACTGGGTTGCAAACAGTCATAATATCAAACATCCCAGAGCTAATAAGTTCTAATTCTGTTTAAATTCTGTACATCATTATTATATTACGCATAGAAGGCTGGTCACCTACCCCATAGTAAAAATAAATTTCAACGAAACAGGCTATACAGATTCAGGAATCTGAGGATCTTATTTATACTTATAAATAATCAATTAATTTAATAGTCACTTGTAAAAATTTGCAAAAAAAATTGTAAAGGTTATAAAAAGATGTATTTCGATAAAATTTGTTAAGACTTAAGTGTGTTAAGTTATGGAAGAAAACGCCCCCAAATCTACCAATTGTTTTGCGAATATATTTAATTAATCATAGGCGCTTTATTTAAGTTGGCGCCTAGTAGATAGTACCGGTGACTCCAGAGCTGGTACTTTCCTGGCTCAACGAATAAGTATCGCAATATAGCGAGGAAATGCTGCCAGCGTTAAAGGTACACTCAACACTGCCACAGGGACAAAACTTTTTAAATTTGTTTTGATTTTCTTTTTAATATTTTTTAATTAGTTTAATTATTACTTTGTAGATTAAGAAAATTGTAAATACTGTATACTTGATTGTAAATAATAAATATACAGATAGATAGATGTTTTATATATTATTATAATAATATTTAATAATTTATTCATTGATAATTATGTATTTATAAAGCAAAGAATAATTAATACGTATTATATATTAATCATAGTAAAAAATATTTGTACCAATAGCGTTCGTCTCGTGAGTATTGCGAATTGTTTTAATGAAGTTGTTGGATATGTACTTTTCAGTGCCAGTAATATTTTGTTCGTTGGGTCTTCTTTCGGCGAAGGTAATGTTGACAAACACACAAGTTCATCATCTGAAATAATTAATTTTCACTTTAAGAAAATATTCCAATTAGCGTTTTTGACGTCTGCGACTGAATTTCGTTTTTGAATTAAATCTTAAACAAGCTGTCCCCACGTACTTCGTTAATATGTTTATTTTACTTAGACTACCTCTTTAGTAGCTATATACCAACATATCAATTATCATACCGAACTATCATTTTCCCTATACAGATTGTTCGCTTTTCCGGAATAAACGTAAGAACTAATATACTAAAGTAGGTACTATGAAGCAAAATTTTTCATTTTTTTAATATTTTTGAATTTTTTTCTCTCCATAAAAACCTTCCTCAGAGTTCAAAGAATAAATTAAAGAAATACACAAATTGCTCCAGCAACATATTTTGCGATTTATTTTTGTTTATATAGATTAAACGTTGTACGAATTTGTATCAACCCTTGCTTAGCACTCAGTAGATTCGTAGTCCAAGTGGTATATTCGAAGAGACCTAGAACTCGCCTATGTTTAGCGTAAGAATTTGAGGTAAATCTAATGTAACAGGAGACTTAAGGTGAGATTTAGAAGAGAGACTTATCGCGAGCATGCCTCCCGTATGACGAAAGCCAATTGTTTTTTGACGTACGAGAGTCGAACTTGACTCATTTTCGACATCACTAAGTCTCGTTTGTAAATCTTACTGTTTGACTTTACCTTATCTCAAATTAAACGTCGCAATTAGCTCTTGCTTTGCGCCCAGAAATCCATTAGATTTTTGAAGTACCGGAGACGGACTCATAGCTAATTGTCGTTTCTAAGACCCTTAGCGATTTACATTTAGAGTCTACATTTTAACACGTGGTAAGTACTTACCCTTATCATTGACTATTACAGTATTTTGTAAGTATGAAATATTTCTGCCATTATCCGATTGTTGAACGAGCATCTGTTTGACAACGACGTTGTTCTTATCATTGGGATCTGATATTTCTATAACTGGAACAGACAGATATAAGTTAATGAGCAACGTTTTCGTACGGACCCAACTAAGCTCCTTCAATAGCGTACTTATACCTAAAATACCGTCAACGTACCTACTCGTGAGACTTCTATGTAATAGAAAATCTTCAATCAGAATATATTTATTTCCATTTAAGCAAATTATTTCATAAACTTAACAAGTTTGTAAAATAGTTTTAAAGTTTATTAACCGATTTAAAATAAAGGAGGAGGCCCATGAGATATCTTTGGATAATTGGATAATAGTCAAGTATCATCGATTACGGCACGTGTGCTTTCGTAAGTTTGTCCATGAATTTCTCAAAAACTAAGTCATATCGAGATGATTCTTTTCGATTTAAATTAGGATCTGAAAAAGGTATGTATACTATAGGTACTTAGGTAAATAATGATGACGTTTCTGTCTATATACTCGTGTTTTATAGTAGATGCAATAAAAACAGAGCTATTTCAAAGGATAGTATTAGTATAGAACTTATAAGAGAATTAATCCTTATTTCTTAGGAATTTTCTCGGTCACTTCCTTTGTCGTGATGGACGTTGCCAATTATGGTAGAGACGTCAATTGTCACATCCTAAAGTGGATTTCCTGTACTTTGTAGTCAAGACGATATGAATTAAGCGTTCATTGTAGGCGCTTTTATACTTTTTGGGCTTCGATAAGGGTTAATCAATATCCTACTTCTAATATGAATATTGAATAAATATAACTTTATTAAGTAGAGTATACGTTGTCGCACCTTTAGGATACTTAAAATGTATATGCATAAATGTATACTTAAAATAGTTAACAAAGTTTTGTATATGTATGGAAAAAACTGTTAAATTATTGTTGCAAAAATTATCAAAAGTTTGTGCTATTGACAATTGACAGATAGTGTCAAAAATATATATTAAAAAAAAAAATTCCCGCCAAATGTAGCCTCAGTATCTAAGGTTTGTGTTGTACGTCTCTGACAGATCAAAAGGTTAACTGGCCGCCTACAGACAATAAAGAATAAAACAATTTAATTTTTTAATCTCTCTTGCTAATCACTAATCAGTATTATAAACGTATTTATGTTCCAAATTTACATTTGCAAAGATTTTAAGTTTTTAAAGTTTGCTTCGCTAGTAATAGAAATTAGAATCTATAGGGCTAGTAAGTTGTTTGTTTTGTTATATTTTTAATAAAAATATAAAAAATTACATTGGTTAGTAAAAGTGATCTCGTAAATACCTAAACGATTTTTTTAATAATTATGAAATGTACTTACAAAAATCTACTGGATTATGGTAAGCTGGGCATGTCAAGCCATTTTCAGCAAGGAATGGTACAAGTAGCGAGACAGATCCCATATAGCCACACCTCCCCTCCACCAGGGCGTATAACCTGTCCACCTTATTCAGTAATGTGGCTGATGGCTGATGCATTGATATGATGATTGTTCTTCCCTGACGAGCCAAGCCTCGCAAAAGCAAGATCAGTCTGTATGCCGTTGACACATCTAGGCCACTGAAAATGTTACGTATAGCATGAAGAAAAATTGCTCTCGCCATAGACACGGAGATGACTTTTATGATTTTGTTTTATTGATAATTTTTAAGGTGCTTGCGCGTACGACAAGAAAATTATTGTTTCACATTAAAACGAACTCTCGGGATTATAAGGTAAGTAACTAAGCTACGAAGATGCAATTCTAATAACAAAAACTCGACTTGAGTACTAATTACAGTAAGTCTAAAATATTATGTAATATAAACAGTTGCTTATATAAAATAGTAATAGTTATACAAGTGTTTGTTCTTGCTTGACCGAAGCACGCGCAGTTTAATGATTTAGGGTAATATACAAAGTCGGGACAGGTGTACTGAGGAGGATTATATAAACTTACTTATAAGTAAATGTAATTCCAAGGATGAAGAAATGGACTTTATAACAAATTGTGTAATAACTTCTCTAACTCTTATCAGTGAAACAAATTCAGGGATTTCTTAAGATAATCTTGGCTTATGGGTAATGTAAATGTTACGAGCAACATTTTTAGCAACAGTTTATTGCTAGAGATAATTTTTTAACTTTATCACAATTTTGTATTACTAGTGCAGACAAAGAAGGAAGATAATTTCACTGATAAGCTACTTTCAAATGCAGGTGTCGCGGATTAAGATGTTATCGACGATAAAGCAATTTTGCTTGTCTAATAATACTTGAGATATCGCAACTTTTTGTCGACAAAGAATAGAAAAAGATAAAGTCTCTGTGGTCACGATAAGAATCTATATTGATTAGTAGGAGTTTGTTTAGCAATAAATTCTTATGCAGCCTAAGGAATTTCAATGATAGGTTCTAGGAAGAAATTTCTAGGAAAATTTAACAATCAAACCCCCATAGCAATCAAATTGTCTCATTGTGGGCTTCATAATGGGAAACACTCCACCATTCTTGATTCGATTGAGTTATATTGAAACGAGATGGCGCTGTTCACATTCTCAAACTTTTTAACTTATCATTAATATTTGATACAGTTCACTCACTCACTTAGGTGCAAGTTCGTGACAGTTGTAAACTAACAATTAATCTTACAGCGTCTACCGGTTAAGCGTAGAACTAAGGTTTTTATTATACAAATTATTTCACGCAAGCGTTACTATTGATTACTTGCTTAAACTCATGAAAGAACTAAAAGTTGAAGAGTATCGGTGCAATGTGCATATTGACGTAAAAATACAAGGAAAATAATTAAGAAACCCTTTTTTTCATACAAATAATTTTTGAAGTTATACTTCTTTTGGCGCGTTAGGGAAAAATGATGAGATTAAATTTTTACGATGTGCGCGCACACCGTCACAAAAATCCGACACCCTGAATATCTGTTCAAACGTCGGTAAAATAATCTAGGCCTCTAGTTGGCGCTATAATATATCATGATTAGATACACATAATATATCGTTTCGAATGGAAGTGACCATTAAAATGGGCAAGAAAAATGGAATTCGAAGAGGGAAACATCCCTCTACAGTGCTCGAAGAAAATGATTACGCAAAAAAGTATAACTTCTAACGCGGGTACGAACACAGAAGTTTTTTTTATTAAAATTTAACACCATTGCATTGCATTCATACTAGACGTAAGACGACAGTCAAAAACGGCAACATGCTAGTTCGGTAGAATTAACAGAATACCTACCTACCTACGACCGGGACGTAAATAATATCGCTAAGTTCACTCGTGTTCAAATCATAACAAAGTTAGATTAATAGGATACGATTGTTTACGTTTTAGATGTTCAGAAATGCCGTGGGAATATTTAAATGAATCTCATTGTGGGCCGTGTAGCGACCTATCATATTTTGTTGCAATCTACTTTTTAATTTTAAAACTAAATGGACGGATGGCGTGACAAATGAACGGAGACCGTTTAATTATGATCTAGTAAATTAATACGCTTAGAAAAATTATACTGGTTTTAGGTGAAGGTCGGCGAGAACCGAGATCTTCACAGAGAACGGCTTTTGCATTTCGTTTACCATACATAAATTATTAAAATCGTGTTGATTGAAGACTTTCTGCCATGCAATATCTTATTCCTACCTTTCAGTTAAATAAGGCAGTTTGACTTTTTGTCTAAAAGCCCTTTCGAGCAACGAAAGCTTTGTTTTCGATCTCCAATTATTTTAATCAAATTTAGTTTAAAAAGTGCCATTAAAAGTAGAAATAAAATCGTGACAATTTGGCACAGTACCAAGTGCCGTTACCATCCACGAGTTTGCAAATTTACTTTTTTAAAAGTAGCATGTGTCGTCTATCGTTTATATTAAAATTTCATCAAACATTAATAGCTAAATTTGACCGTCGTTCTGGCTGTTTCGTTAATTTTGATTCCGCTATGTATTTTATGTAAATTGTCATCACGAAAAACCCTAATTATAATAGTAAAACGATTAATAATACTCATTATACGTGGGTAACACTGAAAATTTAGAATTGGCCAGTTAGAAACATTGCTTATGAAAACTTTTTGAATTTCAATTTTAGAACTCTTTGGTAACCTAATATATTTTGCATATTGCATTCATTTATCATTTGTTTTTGCGAATTGGCGGCAAATCTACATTAATCCGTTTTTAATTTTCTTTTTACCTAGGTAGGTAACACTGAAAATTTTTAGAAAATGAAAAACGGTTTAATCTTAATTAATCATGTAAGTATAACTTTTCAAATGATCTTATGATTATACAAAAGTATGTTCAGGAAACTTAACAGGAAAATATATTTTTATTATGGCATATGTATTACCTGATAGGTTCATCCAAGAACATAACAGGTGGATCATTGACTAGTTCCAGGCCGATAGCCAACCTCTTCCTCTGTCCCCCGGACAAGTTGGCTGCTCTCGTCCTGATAGCTGCTTTGACACCAAGCGATTCGACGATTTCCTTTATCTGCAACAGATTACATATAGAGTATCCTGTACTGTACTCTTTAGAGTACCTACGGCTATTGTTCCAATAAACCTTTTTTGTTTCTTTTTGTCCGGGTTGGGAAGGAAACTGCTATTAGCAATAATCCCGCCCATTTAAAGCGTTTGTGGCTTTTGATTTGAGTTATTGTTTGTCATAATTACTCAGGTTAGCGAAATTAATTTATTCAATTTTTTTTTCAAAACTGTTATTATGAATTATAAATATAAAAATATATTATATATACCACGTCATATTAAGAAGATTGAGATGATATAATTTTTGTTCAAAAATATATGGAGCATGTAATAAAATGAATGAAAATCTTTGTTTATTTTCTTATTACTCTGGATGGTCACAGTCAAATAATATAAATCGGTTTATGTACACTATAGCATGATTAGCTACAGAGTATAGGACAGTCGGTTGAATAGCCACAGAGTATAGATTGGTTGGTTGAAAGAATAAAGATAAAAATGTAAAAACAGAATTAATGTTTCAAAAAAAGTTTAAAAACAAGCAAATTTACTAAATTAAAGATCTATGCAACTTAAATTTCTTCAAATTTATTTTTCAACAATTAACAACCAACAATTTTGGAATAAATCAAACAATTATTATTAAAGGAATGTAGTCATAGTGTATGTCTCGCCACCATTTTGTTTAAGAAATTGGAACCAATACGATAAAGGGCCTTTATTACAAGAAGTGTGTTTTTATAACCTTTGTTTAAATACTTAATACAGCTTCATTCATCAGTTTACAAAACGATCCTATATCTTCTTACACAGAATATATAAATTTTATCAGGAAAAATCGTTACTCATAGGAAACAATGTAACGTTCATTACGATACTACAACTTTGTATAACAAGATTTGATTTATTGCGCGCAATTTTTAGTTCACAGCAATTTATTGAAGAATATATTTTATTCGTTTCAATAAGAATTAAAGAGATAAATTCGAAATATTAAACACTCGTGTTTGACATTTCGCTTTCCCTTTTAAAACACAAAGCTATTTTAGGATAATATAATTAGAAAGAATTGCCTTAAACAATTTATTAAATAAGAGAATATAGTTACCCTTTCGTTCTTCTGTTCCGTGCTAATATGGTTGCCCAATTTGAGTTCTGCTGCAAAGTGGAGGGACTCGTGTATCGTGAGCATGTCTTGGACCCTGTCATCTTGTAGTATATAGCATGAGCGACGCCGAAACAATTTAACGTTTCGCAATCGTCCATTCACAAAAATATTGCCACCAGTTGCATCACTGAAAGGAATAAAATATATTGCGTTTTATATTAATTACCCTGACTAAAAATAGGTACAACATAATAGTGAGCAGAATTTAATTTTATAAGTCAGTGGGACTATAAATAATTTTTTACAAAAAACGTATTTAGACAGAGACATAAACTTTATTACTAACGAAACAGACACAATAATAATAATAATAAAAAAAGAGTTTTTTAAGGAATAAGATACATTTTAAGTGTAATGTGTTGTGGTTGTAACTGGCCCTGTCTCAGCAATATGCTGTTGATCATACGTTTTCCACAGCGCTTGTCATTCTGCCAGAGCCCATAACATGTGTTTAAATACATAATGTAGTACAGTGTTGGCCCAGGGGCTCTAGCGTGCGACTCTAATCACTCAGGTCGTCGGTACGAGCCCCAGCTGCGCACCAATGGACTTTCTACGTGCGAGTTAAAACTCGCTCGTACGGTGTAGATAATAAACAAGACTCAACGGCGTGTGTCAGGCATAGAATTGCCTATTAGAAAAAAACAAATGAACACAGATACAGAAATCTGAGTCCTTAAAACATTGTAGCACCACTGGTATGACGATAAAAATGTAGCGCATAAATGTACTACACACTAATCTTTGAGTATATGTTCAGTAGTTATTTTTAAACTTTCTAGCGAATAAGCTTCTGTAACAGTTTATGTGATATTCAGAAACGAAACTTAACACGAACTATAACTCCCGTCCGTCAAATTACAATAATTATTATGACACATGACCCAATGTACAAAAAACGGCTTATGAAGTTTAATTTATTAAATTTGTACGCAATTAATTATAATTTATATAAGTAATATGTAAACTGCCGTCAGTTTAAATTGAAAGGAAACCCGCGAGGTCGGTAAATGAACGCTTCCTTGAGTTTTAGACCCAGATTTGCGTTCTCTAATGTATAATATTTTTTTTAATTTAGAGAACTACTTTTGTCTAGTAACGTGGATCTTAAATCTCAATACTGTGGTAATTTGAAAGCATATAATCGGTACCGTGGCTAACGCTGCATTCGTCTTAGATTTGATTTTAGGAAATTTTTCAGAACAATGAACAGTCCCAGATTAATGGAGAGTTACCAGGTTTCAAGCTCGCATAAAAAAACTATTTCCTTCATCGTTCGAGCGAACGTTAAATGTGTACATAGATAGAAGGTCCATTGGTACACAGCCAGACATCGAATCTACGACCTCTAGGATGAGAGTCGCACGCTGAAGCCACTAGGACAACAGTGCTCAAACCATATGTTTCTCTTATTTTAGTATAGTAGGATTCGGTTGCACTTGCTGGTAGGTCGCCGACCTAATTATAAACTGCCATTCAACGCCCTTGAATGTAAAATGTTTAAATTAGCTTACGAGGGCATAACATCGCAATGAAGCGTAACAATGAGGATGATAACAAGGTTGGGATTGTATTTAAACAATAGATTACGTGTTTGAACTTTCTACATATTCATTTCATTCAATACAAATTCCTAATAATTGTGCACTTACAAGTTTGGTAAAATATGTTCAGATTAGCTAGATTTCGTTTAGGTTTGCTCTCCAATAACAATCATGATATTTCAGTGAATTTACACAAAACCATAATGAGTTATACACCTAAATGTGCATCAGCAGTCACTATCTATTGGTAAAAGATGTTAGGTGGTTTATCTCATACACGTAACCGGATTTTCAATTTTAAATTTGAAGCATATAAAACTGAAAATTTAACCAAACAGGTTTTATTAGAACAGTTAGTCCTGGAAAACCTAACCTTATCTAACCAAACAGAATAAAGATTTCATTAGGGCTAACTGAGATCATAAACAAGATAAATAGTTTAGGACTGTTTACAAAACTAAATTTCCCCGAAATTGACAACGGGGCTCTCCCGAATTCGATAAGTGATAACACGGGGCCTTGTAAAGAACTGGCTTACATCTATCTTTACACATTCATAAAGATAAAAACTACAAATATTGCTCTATCTGTCCTATATACCACAAAAAGCGATTACAGACTGTCAAGTATAACTTGGGATTCTAGTCGCAGCGTCTGTTATACTCTGTTACGAAGTTGAATAATTTTTGAATTTGTTTTTTAAATTTCTTAAAATGGGGGCCTCATAGCCTAGCGGTCTTATTAAGTGGCAGCTAGGTGAGGGGTACCGGGTTCGATTCCCGGTTCGAGGGCAAGTTTTAATTTAATTTAAATTTGTTCTCGGCCTTTGGGAGGGTTGTGCGGTACCGGGCGAGTGCTTAAAACCGTATGGAGGACACGGTCGAATTTCTAAAGACAAGCACGAATTTTAAAAAAATCCTATATTTGACGCTGGCTAATGCACAAATCGTGCCAGAGCCAGAAAAAAAAAATTCTTAAAAGGTGTTAGAGAAACTGAACATTTAAATTTGAATGGCGCTAATGAAACCATATACAATTGACAGTTAGTACATTAGTGGTAGTTTGACAGATATTAGATTTAACATATTAATAACTAAATCTTCCAAACGTTCCGTATGACTCATAATTGAGTTAAAAGAGTTCACTGGATTTTATAATCTGTTACCGAAATATTCAGTAGACATGAATTTTTATTTAATATTAACTTCACAGTGCTGCATTCTCTAGACAATTGCTTTAAAAATATTATACCAGTACTTTCTACGTGATAGATAAGAAAATTAGTAACCATGGTAACATATCTTTAGATTATTTTTATTAATTTAAAACTGTTATCAAAATTCAATAATTACCTTTAAAGAGTAATATAAAACAGAGTTTTATATTAACATCTTATCAGAACCAACTCGGTTATTGGTATTACGTATTTGACCTGTATTATCTCGTAATTATTAAACAACAATGAAGAATAATTCTTGTGTAATGATACTTCAATTTGCGAATTTATATTTATTACTAAATAGGTTGATGCATAATTTATATCTCTGTACTTTATAAATTTTATATATAAGTTGTTTTCAACGTTTCTGTATTAAGGAAATATTAATACGTTTATTTACCACGTAATACAAAGAAATAAGCTCTTGGACTTATAATAATTTAATTTTCATAGGATTATCAAGGACGTCAATGATACAGGCAAATAAGTTAATTTTGAAAGAAGTTATTGTGTGTTTTGGCCAGGTGGCTTCAGCGTGGGTCTCTCATCTTCGTACTAAAACTATCTCTGCAAACGGCGTGCCTTAGACCCAAAAAGTCGGCGCCCTGTGTCCGGCACAGAAAGTTGATAAAAAACAAATGATCACGAAACAGATACAGAAATCTGAAGCCCAGACCTTAAAATGTTGTAGCGGCAGTGGATTGGAATTAATACAATAAAAATACGTATTCAATTGTTATTCAGCACGTGTTGATGCTTGTCACGTGATTTTCAAGTTCAATGAATGATAGAGAATGTTTAAAAACACCACGGAACATCTTTAAAATAACTTATTTTGGGGCGTCTATTTTAACTGTGTAGCTATGTGAATAATTATTATTGAAATAGTTTTTGCTTCAAGCCAGTCTTGAATTATGTAGAAAGACATTGTGTAATCAATTTGTTTCGGTTGAGAAGTTGGAGGTTAATATTTTAATTAAACGAACCAGCGGAATGGGACATTGTTCGGCCGGTGTTCGGGAACATAATAATAATTAGGTAATTATAAAATCAAAATATCATTTATTCACGTAGGTAATTTAATGTACACTTATGAACATTAGTAAAAAAATTACATTTACACCCAGTTCTCAAATCAAGGGCGTAGAACGGATGAACTGGCAATAAACTCCCCGTCACTCTCTTAAATCACCAAAGTTACAAAATGTTTGTAAGCAGCTGCGACCATTACATCATGCTCCTCATCACATGGTAAAGTCATATTTTAATTAAATAATTCATAAGTAAATAAGAAAGAACGTTTCACCTCTATCAAGGCGCGGTGAAATAGGAATATCTAACAGCGATACTGATTTTGTACCCAATTCCGGTATCTTTGTAATCTTCTTACTGAAACTTGTGCGTTTGTTAAAAAGACCTAACCCATACGTCAACTTGCTGCCTCCACACCGCTCTATCTCAGCTTGTCTCAGTGCATTAGGGGTTTTCGGAATTTCGTTAAAGTTCTACCATATTTAATACAATGTAATTATTAATACTAATGACAATATCGATATGTTTTAACTGTCTTGTTTCGGTCGGTTTATGCTGATTAGATTTAGTTTTAAATTTTTTGTTTTTTTATTTTCTACGACCTAAATTTTTGGAGTCGTGTGTTGTCTGACGATGATTATTTGTGTGTTATTTGTTATCTAGTTTTTGTATAACTATCAGTAGTCTGTGCAAACCAATAATGTATAAATATTTCTGTGTAAAAATTGTGATGCCATATTTTTCTTATGAATGAATATTGTTTTTAAAACTTATATATAAACCTTGGGGTCGCGCTGTACAAATTAATATTCAATAGGTCTCGATCGCTATCGCTACTGTGATTTACAGAATATCGGGCCGGAAAATACCAGTGGCTCTTACATGACATTTAAACAAAATTAAGAATGGGGTTGCCAGTTTCAAATAATAAAAGTTTTCATAAAGACTCAGATTCTTTGTTAATTTCTCGAGCCGTTGGTTTAAAAATATGGAGATTGCTTAAATATTAATCCTATAAATCATCTTAAGCAGTAATTAAATTTCATATTAAATGAGAGAAAGATACTCAAACACCTTGATAAGATAAAATTACTTTAGAATATAAAACATGAGAGATAAGATAATATTATTAATGGTATTGTTAACATAATATTTAAACATTTATGATGGACTTAAAACAATATGGTACGATCTCATAAATAATCAAACCACATTTCTCCTACAATATATATTTTATTATGCCTACGTCCGGTGCTCTGTAACTAACAGTGGTACCGATAAACCGATCCCCGATTTTGTATACAATTTCATTATAAAAAGTTTTCTTAAAATCCGCAGCGCTGATGTCGCAGCATTACAGAAACTTACGAAAAAGTCAGGATCGCAATCGCCATTCCTATTGGGAGTTACAAATATGGGATACGGATTTCCATAATCGTAATCTCAAGTATGGGAAAAACGCTACATTCCCTTTTGACTAAGGCCACTAATCTTGATATATTAGTGTAACGCAAAATGATATTCTTAAAAAAAAAACATTCGATTAAATACTTTTAATAAACGAACATCTTTGTATATATTTCACTTTAGCGGGAAAGAATTAATTTCCTCATAGGGTTATTAAGTAATCTTAAAAGAGAAAATTAAAGGAAATTCACGTTTCAGAATACGGGCCCGAGGTCATCGTTTGATGACAACTGTTTTATTATTTGTAACGAGTTCGTTACTCAAGTTTTACATAGTAATAATTATCATTAAAATTAGTATTATTACAAATAATAAATATACAGTGGTGCTATAGTCATACATAGGTCTAACTCTAGGTTTTAGGTTGCATATGTTTATTTTATTGTTTTCTTTTATAGATAATTTTATCCCCGTTTGGTCTAGAACAGTGTTTATTGTGTATATAGAAAGAAAAATCGATTGGAATTACACAGCCAGGCACACACACACACACACAGCTGGAATTTGGATGCATGATTAAACCATGAGACAAATATTAATGTTTGTAACAAATGAAAAGCAAAGGTGTAAATAAAAACTTCACATTAGGTCCAATGTTTCATAAATGTAAAACTTTGATTCTATTCTCTTTGAATATTTTTCCTATTAGGCCCTAAAACATTATTAAGATCTAAAACAAACTGGTTTGTTTATCCCTGCCTAAGCAGATAATACAATTAACATGTTTATGCATTTCGCATATGAAATTTAAATTTAAAATTGCTTTATTTAGCTTAATTAAAAAATAATATACCTTAATGTTAGATATGTTTTGTTATTGATAAATTAGAAACCAATTTGTTAATGATGAATAAATATTTAATTATTCTGTATCACTATATACTTAAAAAATCACTAAATTAATTGTTACTAAGTTAATGACTAATGAGCACAAAATACAAGTAAGTGTAGATATTATGAGTCATGCATTTAAAAGCTGAGGGAGCAGGTCGTTGAACAAAGCATGTGTAGATAAAAAATTGTGCAGAAGTACAATTGTTATATGATCTTGTAATGGGATATCAATTTAAATATGATCTATTTTCTTAGGGAAGACATATATCTCAAGTACCCTTAGGATACTATTCAATGTTATTTAGGGATAAACATTACTGATAGGTCTTAGCTCTTTAATTTTACCCTTTATATAATATAACTTTTATTTATATTTGTTGGCAAATTGGGAATAACAATATAAAAAGTACTCTATTTAAAATAAGAATGCAAAGGACAATAAAATCAGAAGTAGACATAATTTTTAAACCTCATGATACATTGTTTTAGTGTTTTTATTACTTAAGCAAAACATTAAAATATGTATAACTAAAATTTGCATTATTATTATTATTATTTTTTTAATATAGAACGGGGGGCAAACGGGCAGGAGGCTCATCTGATGTTAAGTGATACCGCCACCCATGGACACACATATGATATAGATCATGCATTATCTGGGCATCAATTATCACAACTTTAAATCAAAAGAAGATTAAAATAGTCGACAACCTTGAAATAAGTGCAGAGTATTTAATATGATAATTATTTATTTTTTTGTACCATGTCTATGTTCACATTTATTATTAATTGTAATAAGAATCTCTGGTTTTTAATCTAGTTGAAGGTAAAAAACAGACTTTGCCTTTAAGAAATAGTTACTCTGTTATTTAATCCAACTAAACCTCAAAATAAATAAAACTATCTTTAATACTGATCTAGTTAATTACAGCATAAAAAAATTAAATAGTTTAATTGCAATAATAAACTAATGAGCAACTGTTATGCATAATATTTTTTCAGTACAACCAACACCATAGAGTAGGTACACAGGCTATAGTCAAGCTGATTTCAGCTTTTAGAAAGATTATATGTAGTTGGCTGTTGGAGAGATCTATATCATATAATCTTGTAAGAAATAATTATATAAGTACATATTCTTACGTGTATCCTGCGAGGATATCCAACAAAGTGCTCTTTCCTGCGCCCGATTGTCCTATGATCACACTAAGTTCGCCTGCGTTAAATTGTCCATTTACTCCATTCAATATCGTCTTGCCTCCTTAAAAAGTAAAGCACTTTAATTATATTTAAAAAACATAAAAATAAACGCGTCAGTGGTTTCCCCATCAGAAAACATTTTGTTAGTCTCGAGGTAAATTAGAAGATACATACATTATATATCAAATTCTAATATTGTGACAGTATTGTGTTTTGTCTTTCTTTAAATATTATTAGAATAATAATTATGTCCAAGAAGATAAACGGTCATCAAACTTAACTCGCGGCATCGCGATTCATTTGTATTTGTCAGTCCCCTGTCTGTATTAGATTTAGATATATAATTATATATAATGTATTAGATAGGTCTTACTCTTAATCCGTAGGTTATACTATTGAGAATCTATCTAAAACATCATATGAAGATGTACGTCAATACATTCTTATAAATAATAAACTATCTATTATTTTTAACATAGCGTTCAGAAGCTTTATATAGCATTATATTTTTTCCACACGAAGTCATGAAGCAGTTATTAATTAATACGTAAGACAAGGCGATAGATATGATATATTATATTAAACGCTACTGATATAGTTATATAAGTTACATAGAAGATTTATATTTTTTTATAAATCCTTCTATTTATTTTTATGTCGCAGATAGATTCCACAAAGAATACCACCCCGTCTTGACTTTTTCCTTTTCTTAATTTGAATAAAAACAGTGGCAGGATACTGACTAAATAAATAAATACTATTTCTTTATGGGTTCTAAAAGATGAGATGTTTCCCGAGAAATCTTGTAGTTTATATCTGCCTAATGTTGAGACTACCAAAAGATGTTAATAATAACGTTACATCGTCAGGCGGTAAAAAACAATACAATAATATGTGCCTATATGTGACAGAATACTAAAGAACTGAAAATACATAATAATGATTTTATATTTATTTCTACATTAACTATTTTTCATTATTAACCTTGTCCTTTCACTAAATTACAAGTTACGATAATGATGAAATTTATTGTTATTATGTTCTTGTCTTATACCTAATAAGAATAAGAAATTTAAACTTAAATTTATAATAATTACAAAATTTATCCAATAAGTGCTTATTTAAAATGTTTTTGATCTACTGTGGTCTGTGAAGTGTTTGGGCTTTTACTAAGAAAAACTTGACAAAAGATGTCAATGGGTAAAATATCATACATAATATATTGTCTCATTCATTAAATTACCTAAATCTAATACTGATTAGGATTATGACAATTAATTCATTTTTAATTAATATCATACTTTTGTGAAACTTGGCATACTGGTCAGACTCAGGCAACCATATTAAGAAAATACGTTTGACGCGTTTGAGCCTATAGCTTGTTAGATTGAGATAAGGTATCAGCTATTTATTAATTTAATATAGGTACATTGTTACAGAATGTGTTTTACTCGTACTATTAATTTTACGCTATACTAAATACTAACTCATGTAGGTAAATTGTGTATTATGTTTGCTCTGATAAAGGGAACGATAACAATAATAATTATGATGATATCTGAACCTTTAACCAACAATTGAGTATTCAATGTTAGTATCTAACCAACCGACATAATGACTGTTTATAATCAAACATTATTTAACTGGTTAAGTTTAAGACTCATAATGCGCTGGGAAATTAGGTATTTAATTACTTTATTTATACGCTAATAATGTTTAATGATTGTTTATGTTAGAAAAACAAATACTTCTCTCACCTGTAGGAAGAAGGCTATGTCGTACAGTATGCGTGATATTTTCAAAACTAATATTTACGTCCTCGGTCAATGACGCCGAGGTGCTCACAGAGTTGCTGTCAGGAACCATATTGAAGAAACACAAACACTAAACACAACAACAAATACATTGATTAGTTTCCATTGCGCACAACACAAAGGCTCGTAACATGTAAACAAAGGAATCGTAATTCGTAGCACGAGTCGCTACGCGTTAGCTGTTAGACACCCAAACGCGAAAGCGAATAGAGGGGAACTGGCAAGCATCCAGTCGCAAGTAGCACGGATGGTTTAGCCATCCAGTTATCGGCCGTTCTCCCCACCCGTCAAGTTACGACCAGCTGATTGTCGCTCAACGTTATCGGCAGCAAGACGAGTTTTGGTCATGAATAGGCCGAGTTTTTGATTATTATCATGTGGCGATGGCATGGTACTCGATTGAGTGTAAATAATTCAAGAATTCGATAAGCAATACAAACAAAGATTGAAATAAAGTAATAAATTCAAATGAGTTATTTAAAATATTAAGGCACGAAAACTTTATTAATTGTAATAAATAGCTCTTATCAACGTTATTGTCTAACCGTGATGTGTTTTATTATACCTATATACGTTGTAGTCATTTTCATATCAAATTATTTCCCAGCTCGAATGGTTAGATAGAAATAAATAATCATTTTTAATAATGATAAACTTCCATTTTGGAAATGCCCCTTCATTGTTTAAATTTCCAGACATTAATAAAAATGCCCATATAATAACGTGACGTGAGCATAACGTGCAATAAAATATAAAAACAATACATCGAAAAGATAATTAGTGATTTTTAATTATTAAAAATAAAAAACACAGTTTTTAATATACTAATATATAATTTTAAGCAATAAGCAAATTTATGACTACGTACGAAAAATTAATTCTATAAGGAATATTCTTATTCGAGTTTTTGTGATATGAATTACTATGCCGTATTTATTTAGCTTCGATTTTCTGTTTCTATTTAATTGCACATATATTATTAATTTCACAATATCACTTAAAACGTTTTTTATTGGCTCGACTATTATGATAGAGAAGATTTTATTTTATATAGAACTGAGTTAAGTTCAATGCCGGTTGTTGTATGGATACGTTCAGATATAATGTTAAATTCAACACTTTGTTTGAAGCTGGGTAACAACTGACTTAATTCGTTAAAAATATGAGCCTAATGAGTTCAAAATTAGGGGTAGTAGGGTTCACACAATACCTAAGGGTTCATAAATCTAAGTATAAAGTGATACTTCAATACAAGTGTAGTGGTCCTTTTTGGACAGTATCGAAAACGAATGTAAAATTACAATTTATGAGTGTGGAAAGAACTAAAGGGCTCATATTGGCTTCAAGTGTGCGATGATTTTGACATTTTGACTACGCTTCTAATTTTTAACTAAAATATATATTTGTAAATTAACTAAAGTAAGTTACATAACTACTGCCTCGACAGTAGTTAGTTTTTAGTAGGTAGTTTTTGAAGTTATACTTATTTAGGCGCGTTATGAAAAATTTATGAGAGTGAAATTTTACGATGCGCTTGCACCGAGACACAAAATTAACAGAATGAAGTTGCTGGAAGATGCTACGGCATTGGACATAATTTAACAACATTCGAATAATAATAGAATTTATGTTACACTTAATGTAAGAGAATAATAAAAAATATTTATTTATTTAATTTTTCAAATGTAAACTGAACTTTACTAACTACAATGACTCCTTTTCCAGTCTTTGATTATTTAATTGTAATTAATTATTTGCATGCAATCAAAAACTATTTTTAATAATGTTAAAGAAGTATAGCTTCTTACGCGCGTACATAAGTACACGCACCCTTTTTTACAAAATTAACATAAACATATTCATATACAAAAATCTTAAAGAATGTTTTCTAACAAAGCCGAATCTAAAAAGGATTATACTATACTTATAATAATATAATTTTATCCTATTAATATAATATATAAGTAGATTACCTTTAAAAGTAAAATGCTGAAACTTTTCACAAAAATAACAAACTTGTTCACGTAACGATAGTATAAATTAGACTAAACGTTTTACAACTGTGATAATAGTTAAAATAAGAACTGGGATATGCCCACTGGTCTGTCGGCTCAGCCCCACACAGTTCTTCGGTGAATGATTTAAGTTCAATAGTATCTAGATACATATTTTAGGCTTTTATTATTAGCGGTATAATGGTAAATGTTGGCCTAGTAGTCAGCGTGCGACTCTCGCCCCTGAGGTAGATCCTCGTCGATTCTCCTAATCCGTCGGTCCCAGCGGTACATCGGGAAACAAAAATCTTGAGGAAATCGGCATGGCTATCTTAAAAGTCGATGTGTGGCTGGCACGAGGCTGACCACCTACTTGCCTATTTGAAAAAGCAAATGATCAGGAGATACAAAAATCTGAGCCCAAGACCTAGGGATGCAGCGCCACTGATTTTTTATATTGGTAAATATATCAGACAAAGAAAATTTAAATTTTTAGTTAAATAAGTTTTTGTAGACGAAAACTACAATAGGAACAAAAACATAACTTATGGAATAGGAAACTTATTTTTGTAATAATTATGTACGATTCCCCAATAGACTATTAATAGAATACTTTCATAAAAATAAATCAGTCGCTTAGTAATCAAAGTACCTACTCATCTATCTCTTTCGATAAGCACAGCCTTTTGTATTTCTTATAATTTATATAATTAAATATGGTATAAATGTCTATTAATTAAATACTTACATGTTTACTAAGCTGTAAGTGAAAAATCGTAATAATTCTAATTTATTTAAATAAAAGAATAGGTCTATAGATTACAGCGTAAAGCATAGATTATATTTTTATCGTAATGGTATAGATTATAGAAGATATTTTTATTCATTTAATTAAATAAAATTTAAGAAAAATTTCAGCCAAAATTACTACAAGTCGTATATGGGTTCATTCCGTCTCCTCCGTTCGTGGCTATATTTGTTACCGTGGTTACAATTCTGGATAAATCTGTCTAAGTTTAAAAACATCTAATGTAAATTATAGTGTTCGAAATCCGCTCGGTGCCTCAAACGAGATTTAGGGTTTGATTCAGAAACTTTACGCGACCTGTGACTCCCGTATGCCAATGTCACTCGTTTCTGAATTAAGGTAAGAATGAGATCCGCAGACCTTAGCACTAAGTCACGTTTCTGAATGTCACCCTAAGTGGGATTTATCCGTATGTCAAAAAATGTATAAGATTTGGAACCTTAGATTCCTAGAGGCTTATCTCTGGACTGGACAACATTTTCTATCATACGAAAACTAATATTTTTAATATACATATACTAGTGGACCCCACAGACGTTGTTCTGCATGATATTTAAAGCGATTAGGATATTAAGCAAAGTATGAAAGTACCGACTGCAGTGCCATCTGCCGGGCTGATTTGTGAATCTAAACCATTCCCAGATCCCCTTGAACACACACAAAAAATTTCATCAAAATCGGTCCAGTCGTTTGAGAGAAGTTCAGTGACATACACACTCACAGAAGAATTATATATATAAAGATATTTTTATAAAATTCAGACACGGGTTTTAACTACTATGAATGTATATACAGGTCAGTGACGACATACAGAATAATTATGCAAGTGTCCTTTTAGGAAAGTACGGTTTATAAGTCATTTTATGGATTGCGCATGATTATGTTATTTGTGGTTTTTGTTCATGGCAGCTACATAAAAACCACGTTAAAGTCGTCATAAAAAGTGAACGGTCTTGGTTCATAGTCCACGCCGGTGCAAACTAAGTGCATTTGCACTTAAGCTGTCATTATATTGGTTTAAGAAATAAAACTACGAGTTTCCTTAAGATTTGAGTTTAATTGATGGTTTTCTATTAAATAATAATGATGTTTAGCATTGCTATACAAGGAAATTAAAATGAAGATCCTGAGAAGTCATAAACTCATAACATGTACAAAAAGGTTCAAACATTTACAAAACTTAGGACGGAAATAATCAATAAAAATAGATTAAATACATATACCGTTACGAAAATTGTAAACACAAGTTTATTTTATTGTTGATTAATTTAAGATCCTCCATTTACTATACCTAATTCGGGTGTAATGGTGTATGCTTTGTGTTTTTATGAACAAAAGACATTGAATTTGTAAATTTTCACAAATAGCAAATAACATATTTACAAACATTGTGTAAAACAAAAAACTTGGCGAAAAAAATAGTGGCGGAAAGGCCAGTTCTTCTCTTCCGTTCTACGCCCTTGATTTGAGAACTGGCAGTAAATGTAAAATTAGAAGCATTTGATATATATTTATTTTTTGACGTTCATAAGTGTACATGGTGTTACCTATATGAATAAATGATTTAGATTTTTTTGGATTTGAATTATTTAGTTATATACTTACGATTATTCCTACTCAGTGTTTTTACAGACCTTGTTTAGTACATAAAAAGCCAGAAGAAGAATTTATTCATTCTCATAACAGACAAAAGAGCACTTTCAATACTTTGACTTGGTTGTAGAAATATAGTTCTATTTTTAACACCACATCAATATCAAGTGCCGCCGATTTTTTTTACACTTGTTTCCCCGGATATCTGGCCAATTTTGGTCGTAAACCAATAGAAAAATATTCACTAGATTATAAAAAGATATTAAAATAGTATTTAATTTCCACAGGATTGGTTGCACATGAAAACACAAAAATATGTTAGCTTCGAAAAAACCTAGTTTTGTTATATTATGGACTCTGGAGGTGTTCTCACAGCATTTCTCCTATCGATTTGATATTTACAATTAGAATGTTTAAATATAACTCAATCGGTTTGTATCCAGGGCCGCGCCGACCCCCGGCAGCGCCTGTGTGCGAAACCCATGAAGCGCCTCCTTTTTCTATAGGGGTCAAACGAGCCTTAGGGACGGAAAAAAATGGCAGTCATTGAATCTCATAGACATTTTTAGCGGGTGTGTTGCAGGCCTTTGAGGGAACTCCTTCTATATTTCGGCCTATTTTTTAAGAATCTTCAAGTTTCAATGTATTTTTTAATTT